GCAAACGGCGTCAAAACTACTCGTACAGCGCAAGTACGATTGGGATGGGCGGCTGAAAGGTGTTGACCACGGTACGGTCCCTCTGCTTCGTTTGAGCCATCTCTTTCGTCAAAGGCCCCGTCTCCGCCACCACGTTTTTACTCACAAGCAGCGACTCGTCATTTCTCACTCCCCTTCAGCAATGCTACGTAGGGTCATGACTGGACTAAGTCTGCAGCTACTGCCCGCTTGCGGGATGCAGAGCCAATTCTGGGTATTGAAATGTGCTGCTGGGCGACCGCAACTGGACTCTGACGACTCATGGTGTATTCCCAGGGGGGGGGGGGGGGGGTTCCCTGTCCCTTTTTGCCGGCCTGGTTGATAGCGAGGCGAACACTGAGCCAACATGCCTACCGAGGTAGACTATTGTTCCCCTGTCCGCATACCGAGCGGCAGAAGGGCCTATTTGTGTACACAACAAGGGTCTCTGTGCTAGATAAGCGCGGAGTATCAAGGCATATCGTACACGTACGGAGTACAATGAGTCCGTTCAAACACACAGGCTATGCCAGCACAGAACTCAGCACGGGCAATGACGCAAACGATCCCCAGGATGGGCTGCCACCTCCTGCCAGCACGCAGAGCGGGTTACTGCACGAGGTTAAGCGATGCTGTAACTGAGGAAGGGGCTGCAGGCTTCCTCTTGGCCGGTTTCAGGGTTCACCCGTTGAGTTGCCCGCTGCCAACGGGCACATGCCGCTGCGCAAGGCGTCGTGCGGCTGCGGAAAGGGCTTCACCGAAGAGCGGCGGGTCCCAGGAGCGGCTCGCGTACGAGTAGCGACGCTGATCTCAGTCCCCACAAAGCCCTTTGATAGTTACGGCTGTCGGCGGGACAGCTGAGTTGTCAGAAGTTTGCCGCTGGGTGGTGAAAGGCGGTCGAAGCGTCCATCAGGCCAACCAACACACGAACACGGCGTGAACGGATTGCTTCGCAATCTGACTGCATGTGCATGCGTCGGCCGTGCGATGCAGACGAGAGCTGACGTGCCGATGCTTACGCGTATGCCTACAGCAGTCGTTTGCGATACAAGCAGACGAGAGCTGATAGAAATGCCCCCCGTCGCCCTGCTGATAGGTATACTGCCTATTACCGGTCCTCCAGGATGGGATGTCGAACGATTAGGTGAGCATTGGCAGCGATCGACAGCGTGACCGTTCCCTCTGCATGCAATGTGCGGTATAATGAGCAAAAAATGTTCAAAAAAAGAACAAGAAGAAAGGAAGCGGGATCCGGTGCTGCCAGCAACGCTGGATCAGGAGCAGAGCGCCCGCAACATGAGCTGTCGCACACAGGAGCACTTGTCTCAGGCAGCAAAAGATGGTCCGATTCCAAATTGCCCATGCATGCACGAACTGCGGCTGTATGCGATGAGTACGACGCAAACGCTGTCATGTAAGTTTACGGAGCACCGTACGAGTACGAGTACATGCTGGTGCAACGGTGTTTGGTCGGAGCTGGCTCCGAGCTGGCCAACAGTGCCTCTGATATCTGATGATTCTGTCTACGAATACTACTTTGTGTGAGATGCAAAGTACACAGGTGGTTGTGGTCGCAGCCGCACTGTTGCTTGGTAGCTTCGTCTCCAACTTAGGTACTACTCCGTACTTAGTGGCCTCGTCTCGTCCCGTCCCGTGTGCCACAGAGGGGGAATAGTTGATGGCCGACCCCACTCGGTGGTTGAAACACGGCCAAGAGTCTAGGTACTATCCCGTCCTACCAACTCGTCCTGATTATAGGTACGGAAGTATGGAACGTCATGCCAGGAGGAGCCATAATCTGCTGATGGCGCTGCGGACACCGATGGGATCCGGCTTTCTGGTTGGATCACGATCGAGGCTGGGTTGGATCATACATAATTGACCGAAAGGAGAGACATTCCCCTTAGCCCGCGAATGATAGAGGCCCTCTCCGGCAGTAGTGATTATGCAGGGCAAGCCTCTGGTGTTGGGGCTGCGGCAGCTTCGGCAGCCTCACTACTCTGATCCAGGCATGGATAGACATCGTCGAAGGTTGGTCCTCTCCCCCTGTTCGCTGACTACTTTTCCAATAGCTCGGGTCCCGAGTCCCTGCTGATCCCACGGCTCAAAATTCTTGGACCCCCCCTTCTGTTGTTCAACCTGTCCTCCTCCTCCTTTCCAGCCCGGCCGGCAAGGGTGCTGGCTGTACTTGTGATGGTGGTGGGCTGTACAAGCAAAATGGCATGAGCTACAACCAAGTACTTGGTAGCTGTACGAGTACATGATACGGTTGAGACGGGGGGAGGCGTGTGCATTAAAGACGGACTATTGCCTAATGCGCGCGCGCGCTCGTGTACGCAGAATGACTCCAAAGCAGACACGGGCGCAAAGCAAAAAGCAGTGCCGCGTCCCCCCCAGTCCCAGCCCAATTTGTGGGCGTCTCTAGGGGGGGGCGGAAGGTTGAAAATCTGGGGAAATGGCATGCCCTCCATGCGTACCCAGCAAACCCCTGACCTGTATCCTGGGTCCCCGGCAAGCAGGACTGGTGTGCCGTGCCTGGCTAGGCCTCCAACTCTGCCATCTCAGCTTCGATGGGGGATGATGAATCGCGGGTTGTTGGGGGGATACGAGGTGAGTTTTAGCATAGCCCGTCGGCGGCTTATCCCGTACGGCACCAGGAACCAGCAATCTCGAAAGTAGATCAGAGACAAGCTACAAAAGGCAAGGGCTGTATGGTTTGAGCGAGGTGAGAGCAGGCTAGACTCAAGCGAGGCTAGGTTTTACCTGCTCTCGTCCAGATGCTGGCTGAGAAGAGCGGTGGATATGCTCGTGATAGGTCATAGTAAGGCTGGAGATGCTCACATCTCATGTCCAAACGCATCAGCCAAGACACTTGATATAATCAGGCAGAGGATCAGCCGTACCAGTAAAAATAGCAATCCGGGGCCCGGGTGTATTACTCCTGAGACAAGCTGCTTATGGTGCCTAATTAGCCCCCCCGAGCGAGGTTGTTCTCAACTTAGACTAAAGGGAACTCGTCCGGAGGATTCCCGTAGGAGTTTTGGCCTTTTGGCCTTTTTGCTTTCCTGGGCAGTGCTAGTACGAATTGATCCATGAAGCGGCAGCTGGAAGGCTGACGTGTCGTTGCAAGGCTGATGGACTATGCGCTACTGCACGAGCAGGAGACCGGGGAGATTTTGTTGGTGTTGTTATTCGTTGTCTTGGGCTCCTTTTTTTGTGTTTTTTTGGAGCAAAAAGTTGGTGTTAGTGCTAGTACTGCGCTCCGTCAGGAAGATCACGATGATCAACATGGGTCCTTTTTTTTTTTTTGGCCCTATCGACGGTATGTACAGCTCATTGCAGTAGTAGCCCATTCCTTTCGTATCTAGTCACGGACGCGGCGGATGCAGATTATCGGCAAGGGGGGAGTGTTTATGCCAGCGAACATGGGGGATGGAAGATAAAGCCAGCAGAGCTGAGCTGACGTTGAGTCCCAGATTATGGCCGAATGACTCGGAGCAGGCGTCAACGAGAAGGCCGATATGAGTCAGGGGCTTTTGCTTGCTTGTGCGGATGCGAGGGATTGGAGGACGATGTTTTTTTTGTTTTAATTTTAATTTAAATTTTTCTTCCTGTATCTTCTTTTGGAATCCTGGTGAAAGACGGAAGTGCGGTGGCGATGAACGGATGCATGGAGTTGGACATGTTTTTATGTAGGCGGTTACTTGTTTGGGCGAAGGGGGGGGGGCAGTATAATTCTGGGAGCGGTGAGCATCGGACAAAGTTGCTTCTGATAGTCCGTGATGACTTGGTTCGCCTTGTTTTTTTGCCTTGCAGAAAGTTGCATGAGATGCCTACTATAATATTAACCGGTATATCCTAGTCGATATTATTTAATTACTTTTTTTTTTTTTTTTTTTTTTGGAAACAGAGTGAAAGAATTGGCTGTAGATCGATGCTTCTAGTAGGTACTAAGTAAGATGCAATTCTAGGCGGTAGATGGAAAAGTCATCTAGACAATTAATTATACGCCCCCCCAAAACTAAAACTACCACCACCCAAGGTAGGTTACTCTGCAGTATAGACTACTAGGTGGAAACAAGTAGAACAGAACAAATCGAAATTAAATTAAGACACAGAAGGAAAAGAAAAGAAATCTTCTTCCGTTTCCACACATCCTTCGCCTCTGCAGGAACGAGTCATGAAAAAAGGCAGACACTATCGAACAATGAAATTGCGATTTAAATTAAACCTGCATGCGAACCAACGGATGTTGCCATCGGTACATGTCTTTTTTTGCTTTTTTTTTTGGTCGCCTTGCCTTGCCCGCCCTTGAAGGGCTGACTTTCCGATCCATCTAGAATAGTTCTAGACTCTTAATATATCCATATTAAAGCACCCTTGGCGAAATTTCTCGGGTTATGCTGTACCGGTCTTACGGGAGGGGGGAAAAAAGGAAAGTGAGATGAAAAAAAGCCACAAAGGCCAAAAGAAGAAACGTGCTTGATGAAGTACCTAGGTAGTGTTAAGAAGAAGAGAAAGGGGGGTGTGGAAAAAGGAAACAATAGTATCTAAGAGTTCTTATGCGACTTTTGTAAGATCAAAAGCAAGTGGAGAGATAGAAGATATCCTAACTAACTAACAACTTTAGTTGGAAAGAAAAAAATCCACCCAAGAAAAAAAGAAACACTGGACGAACGGGGAATCGAACCCCGGACCTTTCCCAGGCGGAATTATCTAGTCTTGTCAAAGGCTAGAAGATGCTAAGGGAAAATTATACCACTAAACCATCCGCCCATGCTGTGCGTTGTTTGCATCGTGAGGGCAAGAGACTCAAGAAGCCATCACGAGAACCAGAGGGGACTCGGATTGTTAGTATAGCAACGCCATGGGATGAATCCAGAACATCCATATCACTCAGAGCACCATGTAGACACCAAATTTCATCATCGTATTTCATTCATGTATATGACCTATGACCTTTCAAAAGGGGGCCCCTCTTGTCACCTAGCCAGCGGTTCCTTGGCTTTGATCTCTCTAATCGTATCCCTTGTTCTTGCATTGTCTTCGAAGCTGGCATGAATCAGATCAATCACCTCGTCCACCGTAAAGTACAAGCTCAGCTCGCTATCACACCACAGGAACTTGACTTCATTAAGGTTGCTCTGTAGAACCTCGCCAAGGTACTTGAGCCGCAGCCAGCTAGGCGCATATTGAGCCGTTGTAGGCATTTCGTCCGGTGCGGGTGCTGTACCAGATAGTTTGCTGGGCATGAACAAATCATCGAGTTCTGTTGCCAAAGCAATAAGCTGGGCAATGCTGTAGGCCTCATCCTGACCTATAGACGACATCTCCAACACATCCGAAATAAGCCGTGAAGCAAGCGAGTCCGCAAGAGACCCGACTGCCTGCGACCAGACGGATCTCCTCAGGATGGGGTCCCACGTTGCGGCTACGCTTCGAATTCGCGCTGTTCCGGCCTCGATAGACGTCTCCTTATCGTCTTGCTGTACTAAACTCTGTGAGCCCCCAAGGAGGTCCTGCAGAATTGTCTTTTGGAGGCTCATTTCATTGGAGTAACTGCGGTTAGCAAAGCTCTTCAGCGTCCTGACATCATTGTCGATGCGGAGCATGCTTCGCGCACGAGGTGTGAGGTCTTCACGTTGTTTCCAAGCCAATGAAAAATCAGATAGCTTCTCTGACAGGTACATGGCGTCGTTATATAGAAACCTATAGGCCATGTTAGTCTGAGTTCAAGCTTGGGATTTACCGCGCTGGCAAGCTTACATGTTGCCTCCACCATCAGAAGAGTAGTATTGAGGTGAAATGGCTCGAAATAGTGCCAAGACAAACGTAGGCAAGCTGAACAAGCCAGGTGCTGTTGCGGTTAGCAGACTGTATTCGTCTCCGTCCTTCGTCAACGCTGCGCCGTCTTCAAGAATGGAGAATATTAATTCGAGAACAGGCTCAGGCATCGATGAGATGCTATACGCCTCTTTAAAGACCAGCTCTCTTGTCTGTTCTTTGGCTTTGCTCGATTTTGTCTTGGGAGCGGGAGCAGCGACGGCGTGGGCCTCTTGTTCAGGGGCGTCACCATCATCGCCCCAACCCCAAGCATCTGCACCGTCATCTTCATCCGGTGCTCCAGTGGCATCTTTTGCTTCTGCCGTCTGGTTCGCAGTATCATTCGCATCGTCATTCTCCCCCCAACCCCAGGCATCAGCACCATCGTCTTCGTTAGCAGCTTTGGCAGCTTCCTTCTGTCCCGGCTTTTCCTTTGGTCTGTCGGTTGTATCCTTGTTGTTTGCTTCATCATTATCACCCCATCCCCAGGCATCCGCAGCATCGTCGTCGTTGTCTTTTCCGTGGCTTTCGTTTTGGTCAATATCCATCTTATCCTCATCTCCTGCCTTCTCATCGTCCCATGCCTCTCCCCAGTCTTTCCCCCAGTCATTCGTGTCCGCAACGGCTCCTGCGCCAGTTCTAGAGAGTTCGTTGCCCTCAGCTATGGAAACCATTTGCCTCTCAATCTTTTCTACTCGTTTTGACTGCCCAATCCCGCTTGTGAGATTGATCCGCACACTATCGAGCGCCGTCTCCCTGCTCTTTTCCAGCCATATTGTGGGCGCCTTGCTGGCCCAGTCTTGGATTTGCTCAAGGCCAGTGTATCCACCGTGTTGCAGCGTTTCACAGAATGCATTCATCTTTGAAACAAGGACTTGAAATTTATCCAAGTCTTTGAGTCCTGTGGGAACGGCAGGATTGAGCCACTCTCTAATAAGTTTGGATATGATATCGCCCATCATGACATCAGCCAGCGGTCGCAGCAGATCGGCTGGTAATTTGTGAGCGACAAATGTCAGAATCTGTTCGAGGTCTGATAATAGGGCTTCCGCTGAGCCGTCAGCAGAGCCGGCAAGCTCAAGCACGTCTCCTTCCACTTTAATCCCTGGGGTGTTTGATCTCGTAGCATCCATGCGCGGCGATACCACCGCAGCATCCAAATTATGCCACAGCTGCTCCATCCTCTCATCAACTTCCTTGTAGGCCTTCAAGCCAATCACAGCATCTTCCAGGACCATTTTCTCATCTTATCAAGGTCAGCACGTCTACTGGAGAAAGGGCCGGGGCACTAACCTTGCCGCGTATTGTAGATTGCAACTCTTCCCAAATCTGCATCAACTTGTATCAGGGTTTTCCAGACGTGATCGAACACTTGGTGTATATCGGACTTTAGTTCAAATGCTCTCAGGTCTAGGAGCTTCATTACTCGGGTGGTCTTGCTGACACCCACTTCGTCGAGAGCTACCCATGATTCTTTCTCAAAGTCAGCCAAAGCCAGTGATGAATAAATAGGATGACGCACTCTCGAGTAGTCTTAGGGAATCAAGAACACGCCTTTCTCTGCTTGCCTGCTCGACTTCGTTGAGGAGTTGATTGACATGTTGAATCTTCCTTAAGACGATGTGCATCTGCTGGCTGTACTGAACCTCTCGATTGAGGAATTCGGCTTTTTCTTCCGCATCCAGGATGGCTTCACCAGTCACGTCCGGGGCCTCGGATTGACGGATGATGTCATTGGCAATGGTCTTGGATCGGATGATGTCCTCTTGCAGAACCTTTGAGTTTTGCACCCACGAGCTGATGTCGTCCTTTGTCTCTTCGTTTATGGTATGGATTTCAGCCTAGGCGTGGTGGTGGCGTTAACACATGCAGCTTTGTAGAGGCAACGTCCGGGGACGGGCTCGCGTACCTCGATATCCACCTTGGCCTTGCCCAGAGCTCTGATTGTAGGGTCCAAATCCGTTTCTGATATGGATGGCAGAGCGGTAATGTCGTCAGGGAAGCTCCCTTCCAGGGCAAATGATAGGATGGCATTGCTGAGCTGTTGTGACTCCGTTGCGGTTGCCATGCTGGTTGCCTTGGGCGGCCTCTGATAGCAGCCGTTCTAATATGCCCGGTCAAGGAAAGGTTAGGGCAAGGCTCAGAAAATCCCATCAATGGTAAACAAAGGATTCGCTCGCATCGCAGGACATGGCATTCGTGCGATGGTGGTGAGGGCGCGTTGGTTTGCGCAAATCAGAAGGCCTTGATCATGACTTTCCGTGTTGCTGTCATTTGAGCTCTCCAGGCCTGGCACCAGCGAGTACGTACCTCAGCTGGGCATGTGATGCGCCACACCGGCTGAGGCTGGGCCATTGGCGCCTATCCCCGTTGGGTCGGGCAACGCGCCTAACGGCGGTTAAACCCCTCACCGTGTGGCGCAGCGCTCGGCGGGTTACTTCACAATTGCTCCTCTACCCCACCAACCGGCTGCTGGATTGCATGAATGGAACAAACCATCCGGTACGTACTCGCACATTGCCATCCAATGCCTCCCAGTTACTATTGTTCTTCGACTAGACAGGGATCGAGCATTTAAATCCCATTGCCGTCAGCCTTCCGTCTTCAGGCTTGTCTCTTCAGGCAAGAGACATTCCATAAGCAATCGCTGCCCCTCCTCTCGGATAAGCAGAGGGAAGGCCCCTTCTCTTTCTCTTCTTCTTCTTCTTCTCTTCTCTTCTCACCTCCTGTTGGCTTGCCAGCGGGGTAGATTCAACAGGCAGCTTAACAAACGCTGTTCAGACAATTCCGTCTTCACCGGACAGAGCGCAGTTTGCTCTGTCTCTCGATATCCGGGCGTCGTTCTGTTTGGTGAGTTGCGTGTTGCTGAAAACATCCCAAGACCCTCTGCCCGTTGTCCCGTTATCCCCTCTCAAAACCCCCCCCAACACCTTCACAGCCTGATTTCTCTCTCCTTTATTACCCCCCCTGTGTCAAAAAACCCGAGTTGGGAGTCATCATCCGGATTCTACGCAACACTGCAGGAAAATTCTGTTAGATGCTGTCAGCCAGGCTTGCAAACAACATTCTGCCGCTCATTGTCGCCATCTTCAGTGCTGGCTTGTACTTTCTACTCATCAGCAATCATGGCCAATCTGCCCAAACTTTCCTGGAAGGCTGCCTGCTGAGGTTGGTCCTCTCTATACTCCTCTCTAAGTGGCCCATGCGGACAAACCGTTTGCTTACCTGCCCCTCTCCTCGAAAAAATGAACCCAAATTCCTCCAATGTGCTTCCTCTCCAACACACCAATCCAGTAACAAGTGACTGGATTTTGCCTGTCTCAATGCCATCTCTTCTTATTCACGGGGCTTATACGATCCTGCTACTTTAACAAGGCTTTGAAAGTGCCTCGCCACTTTTTTTTTCAGCTGTACTGACTGACTGCTGATTAGGTCTGGCTGGAAGGGGCACCCTTTCTCAAAAGACTTCAAGATGCCTTCACAGAAATTAAAGCCCAGTTTCCGCAAGGTTCAAAGCTTCAAGACCGATTATGCACCCTGCACAATCACTCAATATGTCTCCGAACGGAGTGGCATGCAGGTTGTTGTAGCTGATCGCAAGGGACCAAAGATCAATGGCTACTTCACCCTCGCCACTGAAATTTTCGACGATTCCGGCGCCCCCCATACCCTTGAGCATCTAATTTTCATGGGCTCCAAGAATTATCAGTGGAAGGGTCTTCTGGACAAGCTATCTTCGCGAGCATACTCTAGCACGAATGCCTGGACTGCCACCGATCACACAGCCTACACCCTTGAGACGGCTGGCTGGGACGGCTTTGCTCAGATCCTCCCCGTCTACTTGGAGCATGTCATTCTACCTACTATTACCGATGATGGTATTGTCACCGAGGTTTGGCATATCGATGGAGAGGGAAATGATGCAGGTGTTGTATACTCGGAAATGCAGGCGGTTGAGAATCGCAGCGCCGAAGTCATGGATCTGAAAGCCCGCCGGCTTTTATATCCAGAAAATGTCGGTTTTCGGTACGAAACAGGCGGCATGACAGAAGCTCTGCGAGTCCTCACGCCTGAGCGCATTCGTCAATTCCACCGGGACATGTACCAGCCGCGCAACTTGTGTGTTGTTATTGTTGGCGAAGCGGATCACGAGAATCTTCTGGAAATCCTGGATACATTTGAAGAAAGCATCAAGGATGATATTCCTGCTCTTGATACACCATTCAAGAGGCCTTGGACGGACTCAGCTCAGCCGCCTGTCCTCAAAGAGAGCATTGTCACGACGGCAGAGTTCCCAGAGGAGGACGAGTCCGTTGGTGAAATTCTCATTGGCTTTTTCGGCCCTCATTGTACCGATGTTCTTGCCACGTCGGCTCTCAACATTCTTCTTACGTATCTTTGTGGCTCATCTGTCTCTGTATTGGAAAATACGCTTGTTGAACGGGAGGAACTTGCAAGCTCTGTATCGTACTGGTGGGAATCAAGACCGAACTCACTCATCTGGCTACAGCCTACTGGTGTGGCAACGGAAAAGCTGGCCTTTGTGGAGAATCGTCTATTCGAGGTCTTGAAGGACGTCGTGTCAAAGCCCTTGGATATGGAATACATGAGAGAGTGCCTCCGAAGAGAGAAGCGACAGGTCAAGTATCATGCTGAGACATCAGAGTCCTTCTACTCTACAAACATTATAACCGACTACCTCTTTGGAAAGCGTGATGGTTCAACACTCAAGGATCTGGAGACGTTGGCAGAGTATGATGTTCTTGAAAAATGGTCGGATGAGCAGTGGCGAGCTTTCATGAAGGAGTGGATGTCCGATGCTCACCACATCTCCATATTGGGCAAGCCATCTCTGGAATTGGCCACCAAGATCAAGAGTGACCACGAAGCTCGCATCGCCAAGCGCAAAGAGGAACTCGGGGCAGATGGACTGCAAAAGCTCGCGCAAAGACTCGAAGAGGCCAAAAGCAAAAACGATGCGCCAATCCCGCCCGAGGTTATTGATCGCTGGGCTGTTCCCGGCACAGAGTCTATTCACTTCATAGAATCTGATACTGCTCGCTCCGGCAATGCTAAGTCTGTTGGCCTGGGTCCCGGCAGGGCACAAGAGCTCATCAATGCTGCTTCGGATGGCAAACTGCCGCTTTTCATTCAGTTCGAGGATGTACCCACAAACTTTGTCCACATCACTATTCACGTTGGCACAGCTCAAGTCCCTGTCCACCTCAAGCCACTCATGGCAATTTTTAGCGATAATTTCTTCAACACCCATATCATACGAGATGGGCAGCAGATCAACTTTGAGCAAGTCGTCATGGAGCTCGAGAGAGACAGCGTTGGCTACGATATTGGAAGCTCCCGACAGCTTGGCGACACAGAAGGATACATGGTTCAATTCCAGGCGGAGCCCGAAAAGTATGATGCAGCCGTAAACTGGCTTCGTACCATGATGTTCGACTCCGTCTTTGACCCCGTCCGGATCAAGGCTGCTGTTATGAAGGCCTTGGCTGACATCCCAGAGTCGAAACGTGACGGGCGCAGCATGGCCGCTGAGGTGGACACAGCTATTCATATGGAAAAGTCTACTCTTACCGTTGCCAGACGTGTTGTTGTCAAGGCAGTCTATCTCAAGCGTCTCAAGAAGCTTTTGAAGAAGAATCCCGACCAGGTTGTGGGGTGGTTCAACGAAATCCGTAACTCTCTTTTCACATTTGAGAATATGAGAGTCCTTGTCACGGCAGACTTGCAAAAGCTCCCCAACCCCATCGCCACTTGGGATGCACTCTCAACAGCGCTGAAGTCACAAAATGGATCTATGGCTCCTATTCCAAAGCCATCGAGTCTTTTGAACGCCGAAGGAAAAGCCCCCGGTTCTGTGGGCGTCACCATCGTCCCCATGACAGCTCTTGACAGCTCTTTCTCCGTCAGCACTGCTCCTGGCCTCTCTTCGTTTTCAGATCCCAGGCTGCCCGCCATTGTAGTAGCAGTAGGATATCTCGAGACGGTAGAGGGACCGCTGTGGAATGCCGTTCGTGGTGCCGGATACGCCTACGGAACCTTCTTCACGCGCAATGTTGAGAGTGGAGTCGTATCCTTTAAAGTGTACCGCTCTCCGGACGCGTCCAAGGCCATTATTGCTTCACGGGATGCTATTCAGAAGATTGCCAACGCCGACGTGCCAATCGACAGGCACCTCCTCGAAGGCACCATCAGCCAACTTGTGGTGGGCTTCGCAGATGAGCAGTCCACTATGCCTAGTGCTGCCCAGCAGAATTTCGTCCAGAGCGTTTTCAAGGAGCTGCCCAAGGATTGGAACAAGGTTATTCTGAAGCGTGTTAGGGAAGTAACTGAGGACGAGATTCGTCAAGCGCTCAAGGATTTCATCATGCCCTGCTTTGAGCCGGGTAAGAGCAACATCGTGATTACGTGCGCTAAGCTGATGCAAGAGGTACTGTTCAATCCACTTCAGATTCTAACGTATTGTATGTATGAGGCATGCTGACCATTGTTTGCTTAGGGTATGGAAACTGCCTTCAAGGGAATGGGCTACAAGGTTCAGACTCATGAGCTAAGCCACTTCCACGATGACTATGGCTTAGATACTGGTGAGGACGAAGACGAGGATGAGGACGACGACGAAGAAGATGATGGATTCGACGATGAAGAGGGGAGCGAGGAGGACGAGGATGAGGATGAGGACTAGATATCTGGGTTAGATGGACGCAATGTCCAGAGGATATGTTCGTATAGGACAATGTAGGCAACTAAATCGCTGGATAAGATGGCAAGAGACACATTCGTGAGCACGACGACACGTATTTTACCAATATTGAGTGTATTGTATTGTTTACTCTAACCTTCTGCCCCGGCACATATTCCTTCATTCTCTACAACATCTTACAACTCGTCGCGGCCACTGGCTTTGACGACACCCTCGTCCTCCTTCTCGCTAACAGCCTGTTCGCCCTTCCAGTCCAGGGCCTTGAGGCGCTCTGAGAGATGGGGGTGGGAGAAGTGGTAGCTCGCGTACATCCAGTCAGCGTCCATGGAGCTGAGATTCTGGATGTGCAGCTTGATGAGCGATGTGGCCAGCTCAGTGCGCATACCCAGGTCATTGGCGAACTTATCGGCCTGGAACTCGAAGGTGCGGGAGACGATGTGCAGGAGGAACTGGATGACGGTGTCCATTGGCGAGAGGGCATCGGAGAATAGGAGGAAGCCGATGATGATGGGGTGCTCGCTGTGGAAGCCAAAAGAAGAATAGAGGGAGCGGTTGTTGATGAAGACAGAGAAGAGGCTAAAGACGTAGAGGAGATGGGCCTGGAGGCTGTGTTAGCGATGCTATTCAGTCAAATTGTTAAGAAAGTCGAAGCATTCGTACCTGAGAGATTCCAAAGAGGCTTGTGGTGTGGCCGAGCTTCCAGTGGCCGAGCTCATGAGCCAGAATAGCGAGGACCTCCTCCGGTTCGGACTTTTCCAAGAGGGTATCGTAGATGACAATGTGCTTCTTCCATGGGAGGCCGTAAAAGAATGCGTTGGAGTGAGCGCTGCGCTTGCTACCATCGATGACATACAGCTCGTGCAGGGGGAACTTGAACTTGGCGGCCAATTCATTGACCTTTGTCTTGAGCTCGCCATCCTCGAGGGGGGAGAGCTTGTTGAACAGGGGCTGGATGAATGTGGGGTAGAGGGTAGTCATCAGAAGCTGCAAACTGGCAGTAAAGACCCAAGTGTAGAAGACGAACTGCGAGCCCGTCTTTTGGATGATCTTGAGGAAACCAGCAATGACGGGGGGCATGAGGACGGCAGTGAGCAGGTTCGTCTTGACGAGGTCCGAGATGAAGAGGCCGGGCGTCTGCTTATTGAAGCCAAACTTCTCTTCCAGGACAAAGGTGCTGTACACGCGGGTGGGCATGCTCAGCGCCTGCGACAGCAGCATAAAGGTGAAGACGAAGACAATCGAGTGCGAGATTTCGCCGGTGAAGCGCGCCGGCGCATACTTGAGCAGCAGGTCGCCGGTCCAGGACCACAGCTTGGGCATGACATCGAAATGGACAAAGGCGAAGTTAACAACCTGGCCCCAGAGGCCGCTGACGACGGAGAACTGGGCCTTGGCACGACCATAGGCTTGCGACTTGTCAAAGGTTTCCTGGTTGACTTCTTTGGCGAGGACGGCGGGGGGTTTGGGCAGCTGGAGGATACGGTACTGGCGGTAGTTGAGCAGAGACTCGAAGACATACTGGCCGACGGAGAAGCCCAGGATGAGCCTTTTCCATGGGAACAGCGGGCGATCGAGGAATTGCGACAGGCGCTGCGGCGGGGGAAGATGCTCGTGGTTAGTTTAAGGTGTTTATGTTTATATGTTTTTTTTTGGGATATGGAAAACAACAATAGAGTGAGTGTTGCTAAGATGCGGCAATTGAGGGCAATGCCGTTGCTCAGACATACCTGTAGAAAGTCCATGATGGCTGTATCTCGATGTCAGTCAGGACATCAACAGCTGGACCTTTGATGCAGTGGTTGAAGATGGACGAATCCTTGGAGGCCAGGGTGTCAGGTATGTACCCGTTGCGATGCGTGTTTGCTGAGGTAATGCATTCCAGGCGGCTCGGAAGCTACCCGGTAAGCCTTAGTACGTCAAGGGGGGTGGTTTTTTTTTTCTTCTTTTCTTTTCACCAGCACAGGATTACAGAGAGACAGATATATTAGTACTTGGACTTGCTATAATATACAGTATGATTTTGGATGTACTTGACTATAATTCGAGATGTTTTACGCATTGGCTGCCTACTATAAGGTATTCATTTTCAGTTGTTATCCAATGCCATCATAGACATACTCGTAGAATCATCATTTGATCGTCATGTCCCATCCAACTTCAGCTTCAGCTTTAGCGCAGTTGCAGGGCACCGCTAGTTGTTACGTGCCCCGGTACCTCAAGGTACCGTGGCTGTGTGTGCTTTTAGCAGCCACCCCCGCTGAGCAGCAGCCAGTACCTGCCCAGTACCTGGTCATGACTCCGCACGCTACCTCGGCGCTCTTAGGGCAGTGCTACATGAATTACGAGAGACGCTCTCTTATTTACTAAGTCGTGTGTCTGAGTATTACTACTGTCACAAGGAACAGCGAGATCACGCGACCCAATGAGAGAGCATTGGCTAGGCTCGTGCCTTGTATTTGTTTCACCGTTGCATAGGTACATAGAACACGGCTCAGTAATGAAGCTTGAAAGGGGACAGCAAGAGGTTCGCTGGAAAAGAAGCGATAGAATTGATAATGTCGAGGAATATAGCTTAGTACACAGTTAAACAAACAATACAATGGATGGATATCAGCCCGCTCTGCCGTAGACTTGCTGGGGGCCAGATAGGGGCCACAGTTCTACAGAAAGCATCACCGCTGAGTTGCCTCTTGAGCTTGAGCCCTCTGCCGGACTTGAGCCCTGTGATGCTTAACAATCTCGTAAAAGAGCGGCCCACGCTCGTCTCGTGGCACATTGGCAAAGTCTGGCCTCATCATACCGCGGGGTAAGAACTTTTCTAGGCATAGATTCAGCAGGTCGGGAAGCCATGGCTCGTGCTTCAACGGCTCCAGTATATATGGAAGCAGCTCAACTGGTGGCACATTGCCGAGCTTAAACTCCCTCTGTATCTCCTCTGCCGTCGCGCCTGTCGTCAATGCCCGAATAGCTGTTTCCTAATGTCCATTCGTGGTTGGCTGAGGTGGGCGTTCCGGGCCATACGGCACCGGGGGACCCTGTTCGTTTGGCTGAGGCTCCTCTTCAGTGTCATCGTCGAACTCACTAAGTCCTTCCTCTTCGCCCTCCTCGTCAGAGTATTCGCTGTCTTCGCCCTCGCCCTCTGCGCCCCCGCGAGTCTCCGGGAAACACGCCTCGACCGCACTGGCTGCGGCGGGTGGAACTTTTCGCCCCTGTTGCTGCATCTGCTGGATGATGCTCATGAGCTTCTCGTTCTTCTTATCCGCGGCCTCGATTTTCCTCTTCCAATCTTGCCGCTCTTCCGCCATGTGGATAATGTTGGCCGTAGTCGCCTCCTTTTGTCGCTTAAGCGCCTCATTCTCCTTCTCCAACCGCTTGCCCTTTTTCGACATGTCCTCCATTTCTTTTCTAAATGAAAGAAACAGGTCGTTGCTGTTATTAAGCGTGTCCTCTACCTATAAATGAAACGTCAGCGCCGAGAACCTGGTGGATCAGTATGTTGTATCATATACCTGCTTGAACTTGTCCACATATACATTGAGCTGATTCCTCAGCTCCGTCTCTGTCTTTGTGAATGCGTGGACCTGGGCTTGCAAGTGGCGCGCTTTGGTCGACTCAGACTCGGCGTTCTTCTTCTCCCTGTCATGACGGGACAGATGATACTGAACCTCGAGTTCCTTGGTCCTCATAAGAGAATGGAAATGAAGCTCGCGTAGCTCATACTGCTCGATGAATGATTTGAACCGGACTCGGAACCTGGCATTGTCCCTCGTCAGCAAGCCAGGTTACGCTGGATGAAACTCTCCAGATGTCAAGCGGGGTGGGGAAGCTTACAGTTCGTCCATTTCCATGTCCACCACTTGTTTCTTCGGGGTATCTTTTTCCTCCTGGTACCCCTCTAACTTTGACAACAAGCCTGCGAATTTCTCGTCCCAGGCCGTGTTATTCCGCTTCTGCGTGCTCTGGAGCTCTTTGTTCTCATTCTGGGACCCAGTGTCAGTGCGCCACGTTACGCCCGAAACCCGAAAACTTATTTTGCTGGGCTAACCTTCATCTTGTTATTGTCCCTCTGCAGTTCTCGACATAGTTTTTCTAATTTCTCCTTCAATCCCACCGTCTTGCTGAGTTCCGTACGGCTGGCATCTCGCTCTTTCTGCAGGGCGTCTCCGCGTTTCTTGTTCTTCTGGTTTTCCCTCTCTAACCGTCGCATGTCGGCTAGCAGTTCGCTGGAGCGCTTCATGAGATGCTCAATCTTCTGCATGTCGTCCATCTTGGATACTTGCTGCAGAAGATCTCGATTGGCGCGCTTGACCTCTCTCTCTGTTTTACGTATATGAGCGTTAATCCACCTCGGGGGTTTTAGACGACATAGATGGTCCAAGCGGTCTCGGCATGATTGTTTCTGCCATCGCAGAAGATTTTGCACGCACCTATTTCCATCTCTTGGTCTTTCTCCCCAGCGGCATCTTGCTCCAACTGCGATATGCGAGCCTGGAGCAGGCGCGACGCTTCGGTAGAATCCATTCCTCTCTTGCCCTTGGCTTTTTTATTCGCAGCGGGTGATGAATGCACATGCGAGTCGTGGCCATTCGTCAGAGCCGCCTCCACATGGGTTGCCGGCATAGCTCGGGAGGTTTCGTCAAGGCGGAGAGTTTCGACGGGGTACGAGTCGCATCAAGGGCCAAATCACATCGGTAGAGAGCCGTGGGCACGCGGGGCACTCGTACGGCGACAGGTTCCTCCCTGCTCTTATATATTGCTAAAGTCAATCGATGTTGGGCTCTAAACAGTGGCTAGCCTGCAGACGACGGTGGGCAACGGCTTCGACGGGAACCCAAGCGGAATTGCCGTCAAAATCGAACGCCGGCTGGGGCTGTTGGCCGGGCTACTGGACGAGTAACGATGCTGATGCTTACGAAATGCCGATGAATCGCGAATTGAGGGAATGACCGGGTGTGATGAGCCGTCGTTGCGATTCTGACGTGCATGGACTTGCCCCCAGCCGCCGATGAAAAGCATGTGTAGATTGGAGGCGTGACCAGGTGGATGGTAATTCGTAGAATTCTAATAGTGCGATGATGCGGCTGGTTGCAATTTGTTAGTGCTCAATGGATTAGGTCAGCAGCCAATATGGTGGGGTTGCTAGCGGGCTAGCAGCCGTGTGGCCGGAAGTCTTGGGGGGCTCTTTGGGGCCTTACCGAAGATATCACTGGCAGGACTGACTAATCGCCCGTGAACACTTGAAATTTCTACCGATGAGATCCGCAGATCAGAGATGACTGGTAGCATCAGCATCAGCATCAGCATCACCATCTCGTCTTAGCTGCGGTTGTTTTTTGCTCTTACTTGCATGGCTGCGCCCTAGATCCTGTGCACTTCTTCTTCAATGTATAACTAGAATCTTTTCCTCCCTTCCTTCCCCTCCCGTTATAGAAATCGACCATGTTGCGCAACGCAGCCAACACGGCTCGCAAGACCGTGACGGATCTCGCCCTGTATCCGAAGCCCGGCTCCAAGCTCCATGGATTCACCATCGTCCGAGCAAAGCACGTTCCGGAGCTGGAGCTGACGGCACTGCAACTGCAGCACGACAAGACCGGCGCCGACTACTTGCACATTGCGCGTGACGACTCCAACAATGTCTTCTCCATCGGCTTCAAGACGAACCCTCCCGATGACACCGGCGTCCCCCACATCCTGGAGCACACCACGCTATGCGGCAGCGACAAGTAAGGATGTCTTTCTTTTGGCAGCCAGCGGGAAACGATGGCTGACAATGTCCCAGATATCCTATTCGCGACCCTTTCTTCAAGATGCTGCCTCGTACCTTGTCCAACTTTATGAATGCCATGACAGCTTCGGACCATACCTTTTATCCGTTCGCAACCACCAACGAGCAGGATTTCAAGAACCTAATGTCCGTGTACCTCGATGCAACACTCCACCCATTGTTGAAGCAGTCCGATTTTCAACAGGAAGGTTGGCGAATCGGACCTGAGAATCCATCAGCCGAAACCGCAGATGGCAAAAAGCTTGTCTTCAAGGGGGTTGTGTATAACGAGATGAAAGGACAGATGTCGGACGCCGGATACATTTACTATATTCGGTTCCACGATCACATCTTCCCCGATATCAATAATTCCGGTGGCGACCCTCAGAAGATTACGGACTTGACGTATGAGCAGTTGAAGAATTTCCATGCGGAAAACTATCACCCAAGCAATGCGAAGCTGTTTACCTACGGAGATATGCCTCTAGCGGATCACCTACGAGAAGTCGATGCCAGGCTCCAGGCCTTTGAAAAGATCGCCAAAGACAAAGTTATTCATCTCCCAATTGAGCTGAAAGGTCCCAAGGAAGTTACTCTCCACGGTCCGCTGGATCCGTTGGTTGCTCCGGATCGACAATACAAGACTTCGGTATCTTGGATCACCGGCGATACGACTGATGTGGTGGAGTCGTTCTCTGTCTCATTGCTCTCTACGCTCTTGATGGACGGCTATGGGTCGCCGTTGTATCGGGGTTTAATAGAGGCCGGCATGGGCGCCGACTGGAGCCCGAACGCAGGCTATGACAGCTATTCGAAACGCGGCATCTTCTCAATTGGCCTTACTGGTGTCCAGGAATCCGATGTGCCCAAGGTCAAGGGCAAGATTCAAGAGATCCTGCGGGACGCGAGAGACAAAGGCTTTGACCAGGGCAAGATTGACGGCACACTTCATCAACTCGAGCTTTCCCTTAAGCACAAGACGTCCAATTTCGGCTATTCCATGCTCAACAGACTGAAGCCGAAGTGGTTCAACGGCAGCGATCCCTTTGACTCTTTGGCATGGAACGACACTATTGCTGCGTTCCAAGCCAAGATGGCGGAGGGCGGATACCTGGAAGGCCTGATGGACAAATACCTGCTCAATGACAACACCTTGATATTTACGATGGCGCCGTCAGCGAGTTTTGGTGACGACCTGATTGCTGAGGAGCAGGCGCGACTGTCTTCCAAGATCCAAGATGCCGTAAACAAGGCCGGAGATGAGGAGAGTGCTCGCCTACAATTCGAGAAGCAGGAGCAGGATCTGCTGGTGGAGCAGAACAAGACTAATACCGAAGATCTGAGCTGTCTGCCTACCGTCTATGTCAAGGACATTCCTAGATCGACGGAGCCAACGGTTGTGCGAGATGAGGTTGCGGACGGTATTCCAATCCAATGGCGAGAGGCGCCAACGAATGGTCTCACCTATTTCCGGGCCATCAACACCTTGGAGCATCTGCCGGACGATCTCCGAGAACTCATTCCTCTATTCACGGACAGCATCATGCGTCTAGGTACCAAAGATATGACGATGGAGCAGCTCGAGGATCTCATCAAGCTCAAGACGGGCGGCGTTTCTGTCGGCTATCACTCCACGCCTTCGCCGACAGACTTCGCTCAGTCTAGCGAGGGTATCATCTTCACTGGTATGGCACTCGACAGGAACGTACCTGTCATGTACGACCTTTTGCGCAAGTTGGTCCAGGAGACCGACTTTGATAGCCCAGAGGCGTCCTTGCGCATTCGACAGCTGCTGCAGGCTTCAGCCGATGGAGTTGTCAATGACATCGCTTCATCTGGACATCGGTTTGCAATGGGCCACGCCGAGTCGAGTCTGACCCGCAGCGCTTGGCTACGGCAGCAGGTGGGAGGCTTGTCACAGGTTAAGCTGGTCACCTCGTTGACCGGCAGGCCGGAATCCGACCAGCTGGAGGATGTTATTAGCAAACTGAAGAAGATTCAGACTTTTGCTCTTACCAGCGGTAAGATGCGCACTGCCCTTACATGTGGCACGGAGAATGTGCAAGAGAACTTGAACTCTCTGAAGACTTTTACGGGGGCGTTGTCTCGAGAGGTATCAGGGGTGGCACGTAGCAACCCATCCCCTCTTCTCAGAGATAGCAAGGCTTTCTTCCCTCTGCCATATCAAGTCTACTACGGAGGCCTCTCCGTCGCCACAACATCCTACACCTCGCCTGAAGGCGCACCGCTGCAGATTCTTGCACAGCTGTTGACGCACAAGCACCTTCACCACGAGATTCGAGAGAAGGGCGGTGCCTATGGCGGCGGAGCCTATTCGAAGGCCTTGGACGGCCTCTTTGGATTCTACTCCTACCGTGACCCTAACCCGCAAAACACACTGGGCATCATGCGCAATGCAGGACGGTGGGCTGTGGAGAAGGAATGGAGCGATCGAGACCTTGAAGAGGCCAAAATCTCAGTCTTCCAGGGGGTTGACGCCCCGAAATCGGTCAACCAGGAGGGCATGGCAAGATTCTTGTCCGGAATCACGGACGAGATGAAGCAGAAGAAGAGAGAGCAGCTGTTAGACGTCACAAAGCAGCAAGTCAGGGACGTGGCGCAAAAGTTCCTGGTCGACGCTATTGGGAGAGGAGAGGAGCGAACAACGTTCCTAGGAGAAAAGCAGGGCTGGGTGGATGGATCATGGAGCGTCCACGAGATGAACGTTAACGGCGCTGAAGAGTAAGGGGCTATGCATCAGCACACTAGAGGTTCCGGGCATAATGGGAAAAGGGCGTCAATGAACGGGTTATGGCCAGGTACGTTGTGATGATATGGATGTATTTACGACACGAGATGTACATTATGTTATAGAAAGATTTCTCCTCCTTCGGGCTCATTTTATTTCAGGCTGAGGCTTTTTTTTCGTTGGCACAGGACGCGTTCAGATACGATACATCTTCATGCCGAGCCGGGTCGACCGACTCGATTCATCCATGGCATGGAGATCACAGAGCAACGCAAGAGCAAAACCACGCAATATCACACACCCCGCGAGCCTACGTCTGCCGCTTACTTTCGGGCCTGTGCTGAGGTGCGCAAGCATCAAGCATCGGAGCTCGAAAGAGGGGGGCCAGAGAGCAGGACGCAGAGTGACGTGATGAGTTCGTTCTATCAGAGCCAGAGCCCCTGAGCTTTGGGTTCCTGGACTAAAGAGCTGAGCACATTTTTGTAAGATGTATGCCGGGCAAGGCTAGAACGAGGGGAGGCTTGTTTTGGACACATTGATGGTTGAGGTTGAGTTGCGGCCTGGATGTAAGCGAAGGAGGCTGTGTCGAGTACTTTGCTGTGTGATACAAACTTGCCGGGACTGAGATGTTTTTTGTTTCTCTCCTGTCTCTCCTCTTTGCTACCTGTTCGTGTGCTTCCGTCATAGCTCCTGGACAGCGGAACGTAATAAGACTGGGTCGAGGAGGTGAGAGGATGGCGAAGCTAGGGCTTGATAAACTGGGGAAGGCCAAACTAAAGGAACTTGAGACTAGGGCCACTCTCGACGGTGGTTGGAAGAGGGCGGAGAGAGGAGAGGCTCTGTGAGTATGTGAGTGAGGAGTTACCGGCGGCTAACTGCACAGGAGAGTGTGTATGTACTTGTCTCGGAACTCTAGGCATCCCGATCCCGGCTCTGCATGGCAAACACTGATATTAGTACAATCTACTATTTCAGGAATAGCATTACGTGAACCTGCATATGGTGCCTGGAGCTATTAGATATCAAGGTCAAGCGGCTTGGGCAAAAACCACAGGAACAAGAGCAAACCAGCGGTGACCAGAAAGCTGCGAGTTTCCCTTGCATAAGTACCTACCAGAGCATCACTACCTCAACTTCAGCGGGGAATTGCAACAAAGCGAACCAATCAGTCACGGGCGGTTGGCAATGTTTTTTATCATTTCCATATGCCGTGCCTTTTATTTCCACTTCCTGCGGTGTGGCGGTGGCATGGGAAAAATAGGCTCGTGCAGCCAGTCAACGGCTGTCAATGACGCCTGAACTAAGAGAGAGGCTTTCCGATGACGGAAAGCCTCCTTTGGCCGGATGTGTAAAAAGCGTCGCGTGGGAGGGGGAAATGGAACAAAAAGGAGAATATGAGGCTTTTATGTTTTCTCTATTGTTTTGTTTTGGTTTTTTGTAATAGGAGAGTGACCACCAGCAAGAAAAAAAAGACTCAGCTTATGGCTTGTAGACGGGTGTGTTGAGAGATTGATGGATAGATGCAACGGCACAGCAGAGCCACTTTCCGGAGGCAGCCCAAGTTCTGACAAGTACGTACGAGTACAAAGGCGGCATTTAATTGAATTTTAGGCACCCAACCTAGAATGATGCACGCAATAACAGCCTTGTGCTGCTGTGCTGTACTCTGCTGCAATGATGGAGCAAGGATCAATGGAGTACTCGTACTCATGCATGTTGCATCACTGCCCTTTGGAGGTATGCGCTGCAAAGTCTAACGTGCAGCCGTAGTGGATGTGTGCATGTATCGACAGGGGGAAGCTTGTAGGCGATCAGTTACCGCCAGGGGGGGGAAGCTGTACCTATCGGGGACAAGGCTTTGGATATGTAATACCGAACTCTTTTGGCGAGCGGGCTGGACAGAAGTCGAGCATTGAAACCGGATGTGAAATCTTTACAGTTACTATAGGCATTTAGCTGAGTAGATACAGGTACTATAACTAAGGTACTAATGTCTCTAGTATCTGCTGGATTTCGTAGCCAACTTGGGGCGCTGAATATAATAGCTACTCCCTAACTCTTTTGTCTCCGTTCGGTAAACCCATGAGTCTCAACGCCGCAGTATCGGGTACGTGATCACGGATAGAGACCGCCTTGCTGGCTTAGTATTAGTTACCTAGTATTACTAGATGCCACCTACTCCCTACAGCACCTCGAATCAACTCCGTGATAATCTGCGGCAGCTCTTGCGTCAAAACTGCAGCCTCTCATTCGCCCATTGGGCCTTGCAAGGGCCTTGCAGCCAGCGCTCCAGTTTTCCGTCTCCCGCCCCCAGCTGCCACTAAAATGCCCTCCAAAGGCAAAATTTGTCCAGAATTTGTGGGCGGTCATTCCCGGTTCCTAGCAACGCAGGTACGTACCGCAATATTCCGCACTCACTGTCCATTTTTTTTCCATTTTTTTTTTCTCGTTAAGCAGAAAACAGGATAAAACCTAGCTCGACCCCTCGTCACCAACACAACTTTTCAACCGCATCCTCCTTTTCTTATTTATTTATTCGCATTTGTGCGCTTTGCATCAACCAACTTTCCTGCTGCTTCGCGACTGCTCTCGTTGCTCTAGACTCAATTTCTAGGTATGTTGTCATTTTTGCTTTTTTACTTTTTACTTTTTCTTTCTCGTGCTCCTTTTCAGCTCCGTGTCCTCATTGGCGCAACCTCCTTGCACGGATTTTCCCCGTGACGAGGCGAATGTCACCGCCACAACGCACAGGATGACTCCCATCTCGAGTTTGTGCGAGGCTCGCCGACTGCGGATTTGTCTCGTTTCTGCTTGCCCAGGATGGATGCTTAGCCACCAGTTGAATGTTATATAAATTGAGCATCTACTTTGTTATGTTGTTGCGAGCTACTCAGCTAACAAGCCTCTCTTTTCCGCCGCTCTAGAGCTTCCTCCACCCCTCTTCGATACCGTCTTTGGTGCCTTTGGTCTCTACAAAGGCACTCAGCTCCCTCATCACGGCTCCCCAGGCCGTGATTGACAAAGATTTCTGCGCTCGCAAGATACCTCACATCATCAACACCATCCCCCCGCCCGCCGCTTGGACACTCTAAGCACCTCGACGATTTTTTGTTTTTCGACGTGCCGCCTCGTCACCAGCCACCGTCCCCGTCGTTAAACGACACCCATCAGCTGCCGCATAGGAGGAGTTCTGCGGTTCTTCCTCTCGCCGAGGAAGAGTCGTCGAGGAGGCCTCGCCAGATCACTGAGGGAACAGTCTGCTATCGCTTTCGACCACCCTAACAAACCGCTTGCCTATTTAGCTGCACAGATTCCCGTTCCTTAGAAAACAACTTCGGACCTCCTCTTTCGAACTACTTTTCTTTTCCTTCACAGAAGACATCCCCCCGCAAACTCTTGGGATATGGTTATGGCAACAGCTGTCCTCGACAATTACGTCCAAAATGTCATCCATAATCATGTTGTGAAGAAGAAACCCCAATATTTGGGTGCTCTTCAGAACAATGTTGCTGTTGATCCGAAGCAATTGATCGGTGAGGCCTTCCACCAGCGCGTGGGGGCCGTTGACCATGAGCTCTGCGACCCCGGTGAAGAAGATACCTTCTTCGTAGCAGACCTTGGTGAGGTTTACCGCCAGCATCTCCGCTGGAAGAAGAACCTGCCCCGCATCAAGCCCTTCTATGCCGTCAAGTGTAACCCTGACCCCAGGGTCCTCCAGCTTCTTGCTGCGCTCGGCACGGGCTTTGATTGCGCCTCCAAGGGCGAGATTGAACAGGTCCTGGGCCTCGGTACCAGCCCAGACCACATCATCTATGCCCAACCCTGCAAGACCAACTCCTATGTCCGCTATGTCAAGTCGGTTGGTGTCAAGCAGATGACCTTTGACAATGCTGATGAGCTCCACAAGATCGCCAAGCTGTTCCCCGGCGCTGAGCTCTTCCTTCGCATCATGACCGATGACACCTCGAGCTTGTGCCGTCTCAGCATGAAGTTCGGTGCCCCCATGGACACTACCGAGAGCCTCCTCGCCCTGGCGCAAGAACTGGGCCTCAACGTCGTCGGTGTGAGCTTCCATGTGGGATCAGGCGCTTCTGATCCCACAGCCTTCTACAAGGCCGTTGCCGACGCCCACACCGTCTTCCAGCAGGCTCGCACCTACGGATTTCACTTGCGTGTCCTCGACGTTGGCGGTGGCTTCACCGGAGAGACCTTTGAGAAGATGGCCGCCGTCCTTGATAGTGCTCTGACCGAGTACTTCCCCTCTGGATGTGGCATTGACATCATTGCCGAGCCTGGCCGTTTCTATGTTGCCGCCGCCTTCACCATTGCGTGCAACATCATTGCTCGTCGCACCGTCGATGATCCCTCGGTCGAAGCCACTAGCTACATGGCTTACATCAACGACGGGGTCTATGGCAACTTTTCGAGCATCATGTTTGACCACCAGCATCCTGTTGCCAAGATCCTCCACAGCGGTGGCCAGACCCTCTACGACACGTACGCCGCCGAGCCTTGCTCACCTGGCGATGGAGTCGAGTATTCCATCTGGGGTCCTACTTGTGATGGCATTGACCAGATTAGCCAGAGCACTCATTTCCCGCGCATCCTGAATGTCGGTGACTGGCTCTACTTCGAGAACATGGGAGCCTACACCAAGTGCTCTGCCACCCAGTTCAATGGATTTTCCAACTCGCACGACACCATCTATGTCTGCAGCGAGCCTGGTGCCAAGGCTCTCATGGGCCTCTAAATGGCGTGGCTTCACGGCGAATGATTTTGCATACATTCATTTGTCAAAGTCACTCGTTTAAGAAGGGGGGGAGAAGATGGGTGGGAGCGGTTTACTTTCTGGCTATTGGTCTTTGATGGTTCTTCAAGTGGCCTCCCGACAGGGAAACACATTGAGAGCCAAATACCAGGCTGCTTTGACCACATTCATGGTGTGGTTTTATATATTCAACAAGTATTTATGAGAGAGTAGATAGACAGTTAAGAAAAAAGATGCCTTGATACAGCGTAGGGGTTTTTGTATCGCATACATGCGTCTCCTTGTCACCCTTGTGTGTCCCCTTAATAGAGATTCAAATTACTCGAGTAGTCCAAAGAGCTTCTTATAGATGACCACATTCCCATATGAAATGCCAACGTTTGTTTAAGCATCTTTTGAGGTTAAGATACTATTTTACGATCTCTCTACAGAAAGGAGAAAATGCAATGCTTCTTGTTTTCTCTAGGTACTTTTTGCCGAATAACAACGACAGAAACTAGTTAAAGTCAATGCTACAAACATGAAAACGAAGTGTTGCTTGCGTATTACCAGCGTTGATGTATAACCGTCTTCGTGCCAAGAAAATAAAGAGATTCCTTAAGGTGAGCAAATGTCAACCGTCTCAACGCCTCCCGAGCAAATCTTGAAATCATGAATAATCGTTATACTTCTCCTCGCAATTATAGATATAATTTTTAAAGGCAGAGAATGCCAACCATGTTTGCGCGGTCCAAATCGACAAATCAGACTCAAAATCTACGAGCCTCGGAAAAGGAATTGCATATCTTCGGGGCTCAAAGTATCCATCGCTTTATCATCAGCATTGACAGTAGAGTGGATCATGCTCGTCTTCTTCTCTTGAATCAACACCATTCGGCTTTCGACAGAGTCTTCGATACAAAGACGTGTGATGACACAAGGTCGTTGCTGTCCAATACGATGACAGCGATCAGCAGACTGCCACTCAGCAGCCGGATTCCACCAACTGGGAATAAAAGGTTAGCCTGAACCGAACTAAAACGTGGTTGAGAAGGAATTGTACTTACGGGTCTACGATGAAGACTCGTGACGCCTCAGTGAGGTTGAGTGCAACACCGCCAGCCTTGAGTGAAACCAGGAAACACTCTACATCGATATTATTCATAAAGTGCTCAATTGAGGCTTGCCGCTGGGCAGGCGTCATGCTACCGTCAAGCATGACCGTCGTGATTCCGGCTCTCCGAAGTCGCCATTCAATGAGTTGCAACATTGTGGTGAATTGTGAGAAAATAATCGACTTGTGCGTAGCGTTGTCAGATCGCAGCTTGTGAAGTTCATGAACAAGAAGCTCGATTTTAGAGGAGGATGTCCAGTTTTCCATCTTGATACGATTGATGATTGAGGACTTCTTGACCAAAACTTCGTCTTGCTCAATTTCTGGTTGCTCAAGGTCGATGACCAGTGCAATATGACACCGCGGGCAGTCTGGCTCATCGGTTGATTTGATATAGCTAGACACACACGCTCTGCAAAAGTCGTGCTTGCAACGGCTTTTGATAGTGTCCTCTGCTGGTTCGTCACAGATGCAGCAGACTAAAACATTTTGGCCCCCGTCTGCATTCTTCTTCAATATCAAATCAGGGTGGTCGGCTACTTGCCTCATTTGCATGATTAGACCAAAAATGTTTGCATAGTTGTTCAAGAGAACACCCTGCGCGACATAAGTGTCAAATCTGCGCTGTCCGTTGGTCATAATGCTATTGGCAAAGTCATTCTCCTCCTCTCCGAAAAATTGACGGTCGACATGGACTTCTTTGACAGGAAGTTCCATGGAATTGGTGTGGTCCTTCTTGAGTCGCCGTAGCATGATGCGATCCGTCATCAAACGAAGTTTCTTGAATGCCTCTCTGCCAGGACCCAAGTTACCCCATTTCTGAATGGGGTTAAGAAGCTCCTGGTTGAAGACGGACACGTGTTGCATGCCCGCATGCCCACAGTCGGAACAGCGACTGTTTTCATCCATAGACCACTCGAGCGTTGAGCAAGGGCACTGCTTGCAGAGATAGGACGCAAATGGTGTTATGTTGAGGAATCTCACTAAGGAGAAGAGCTCTCCAATTCGATTTTGCAGAGGTGTGCCGCTCAAGCACCATCGGTATACTGTCTTCAAAGCGAAGCACGCTTTGGCGGTCATTGTGGTTCTCGTTTTGATACAATGCGCTTCATCTAGGATGGTACGATGGAAAGTGATGGCGTGAATGACACTCTTTTCCTTGTATATGCCATCTTTTCGTTTAAAGCCCTTTTCTTGTTTGCGATACATCGACTCCAAGCTGTTGTAAGACATCATGATGACATCGAATTTCTTGAGCTCTTTAACAGTGATGTTTTTCGCCTTCTGATTAGTTCCATGAAACACGAAGGTCTTCAGTGTTCCGTCTGTGTAGGATTTGATTTCCGATTGCCATTGCATGAGTGCGACAGGAGGAACAAGGACCAAAGTGGGTTGCTTAGCTGGGTAGTCAGACATGATGAGAGAGACGGCTTGGATCGTCTTGCCCAGCCCCATTTCATCACCCAAAAGACCACCCTTCCACTTTGTTGTCTCCATCGCCTTCATCCAAGCAACGCCCTCAAGCTGGAACGGTTTTAACAGTCTTGAGATACTCGCTGGCTGGTCAATTTTACCAGCCTTCATCACAGGCATATTTTCGAGGTCTTTCCACATGGTGCCGAGCTCAGGGTGATGCTTCTCAAGGCGATCTCGTTCCTTGGCAACACGGCTTTTGTTTTTGGCCCTTCTAAAGGCCCGTCGCCTAGATCCAATTCTCCGCAGTTCGTTAGGTGGCGGTTGGCGAACAGCAGAGCTCTCACTATCACTAGTAGCTGCAGAGCTGATGCCGGAGGATAGACCGGATGAGAAGTCAGACGGGAGCGCAGACATTCCGGATTCTGAATCGGCTATGGCAGCTTTGGGAGCAACTGCCAAGTTGGTAGATGTTCGAGTAGCCGCGGCGCGCTTAGCATAAACCTTTGCAGGCTTCTTCTTCCGCTGAGCCGCCAAAGGTTCGTCATCCGTTGATGCTGCTATCTCATCTTCAACGTCCTCATCAAGGTCTCCATCAACATCCTCTTCAACGTCTTCAACGTCTTCAACGTCCTCGTCGACGTCTTCCTCAACGTTCTCTTCACCTTCATCTTCAGTCTCTTCACCAAATGAGAGGGCCTCGCCATTTGATTGGTCATCTTCTAGTGCAAGACCAGCAGCAATTTCAGCGTCCATATCTACGTCAGCGTCAGACAGATCGTCAGAGTCTGGAATAATCTTGCTCTTCTTGCTGGCTCGCTTGTGTGTTGCAGTAGGCCCCGAGAGAGATCTTGGCCGTTTCCCGGACGCCTCAGTCGAGAAGGATGATTGTGCATCAGTAGCCTCAGTGCGACGTGATCTCAAACTTTCCATACGGAACTCATTTTGCAAGCGGCGAGCAACCTTATCATCACGAGTAATTTCTGCAAACTCATCGTCTTCTTCATCCGAGTCCTGGATTTCTGTTACTTTCTTGCCCTTGGCAGTTGCGAAGGAATAGATGCTGCGTCGTAATGCTCGCTCATCTCCACTGGGTCCCTGCAGCCTGCTTCTAGCAGGAATATGGACTTCAAAAGCAGACAAAGTCTTTCCGTTAGAGATGGTAGCTGCTTCAGCAGGGCTTGGGAGTTTACTAGTTCCAGGTGTTGAGTAACCACTTTCTGAAGTTTGTCCAAATGGTGTAGGGACTGAAGAGACGGCTTCCGAAGTCATAGTATCATCATCTTGCGCAAGAGCCACAATGAGACGTGATCTACCCCGGAGAGTCCTGGCCGGTGTAATCTCTTGTGACTGCAATTCGTCTGCAGTAGAGGATCCTCTTAGATTTCTCGCAGATCTAGTGCGAGTAAGACGTTCAGGCGCACTAGCAGGACCATTTCCAGCTTCTGAAAATTTGTCAGTAATGAGCAGTTAATTGTGGTGATATACTATGTGTAATCATACCGGAAGACTTCGGGACAGGGGTGGCAGATGCCTTCAAGGATGGACGACCACGAGGCATTGTAACTGCTCACTAATACGAGTGATGATTGAAGTGCGAAAGAGGGTGTGGAAGCAACCGAGAATTAAGGGAAAATATTTTGTTTGCCACAAAGAAAGGGATGGCTTCGATGCAACGAAGGAAGTTGGGCTGCAGATCAGAAGGGGCTTCACCCGCCTAAGTAAGCGCCAGCTTACAGGTTAAGCGCTGTAGGGAGGCTTCAATTCAAAATGACTGTTGGATGACGAGTAAATGCTTTCTCGTCTGGGCCTTTGCGTCCAACAGTGACTGATGAAGCCAGCCTGGTCGCTTGAATCTGATGAAGTGGAAGAAGGAAAAGAAAAGTACGGGCAGAGGTTACTGGATGAAAAAGTTGGTAGGAACTTGCCTCATCGACCGTGACTACCTAATCTAGTGGCCATGCCAATTCACAGTGTCTGCTTTGGCAAGAGCACGCGCAAAGCCACTATACGCGAAAGCACGTGCGATGATAAGAGGAGACTGAACGGACAGATCGGCACTGTAAGGACACTGTAGAGCTAGCTGAGATGTGGCGTGGGGTGCCTACTTTTTAGTGAACTTTGACAGTGTCGATTGGTAAATGAGTTTGCTGAAGACATCACGTGACACCGTGTTATCTCCGCGACAGTGGCGACACGCCTCTTGCCATTGGCACTGGGTGAAAGAACGCCCGAAAGACTCTCTGAGAGACATGAAAAGATTTCTCAACGCCACTCTCCAGAAGTCGGATAGGCGCAAAGCACGATAGATTTTGCATGGAATTACCGCGAAGAAATCCAGGACGAGAAGAGATCTAGAGACTTGCCTGGCCGCCCACGCACTCATCATGTTCGTTTTTCCATACTTGAGCCCAACACTTCTCAGCGATAATGGCTGACCAATCTCTGTGACCAGGGTTCGTTCGCGCCGGTACGACGAAAACCAGAATGGGAGACCAAGTCGTAACATTACTGGGCCGTGAGTACAGCGAAATTGAGATTGATTATGTCGATTTAAGCTGACAATGTTCATCTAGCCAATCTGCATTGACTGATTTCCTTGCGGTATGCTTCGACGCGCGCTCTTGTTTGCAGCCTGAACTTGCTGACACAATTCTCAGTCACATAACATCTCGGCTGCTCAAATTCGGATCGATGCGGACCGTCGAAGGCAACAAGCCGGTGAAGGCGAGTCAACTCAAGACAACGAAGCATCCGAAACAGTAGACACCGTCGAAACTATCTCGGTAACAGTAGAGGCAAGCTCCTCCTCACGGACGACGAGAGGCCGTAATGCCGCAGCAGAACAAAAAGCCAAAGCTTTAGAAAAGATCAAAGCTAGCAAATCGTTCAAAAAGCGCAAGAAGAGAGCTGGAGATGACGATGACGACGATGACGATATAGCCAAGGCCATCTTTGACGAGAGGCGGGCGCCGCTTCCCGGCCAAATGGACAACTGCGAAATATGCGGGAAGCGCTTCACTGTAACCCCTTATTCTGTGGCAGGACCTGAAGGTGGCCTTTTGTGCGCTCCCTGTGGGCGCGAGGTGGCCAAACAGCGAGAGGGGCAGCCTAAAAAGAAACCTCGGAAGCAGACAGGCGGCGTTGGATCACGACGAACCATCCAGAGTCGAATGCTTGACGGAGATGTCGGAACGAAAAGCCTTGCTACCCTGTGCGTACAAACGCTGGCAAAGAACGTAGACTTGGCAGAAAGCTTGGGTGACTTGCCAGAGCATCTCATCGATAAGATTGCTCGAATATTTTCCAAGAGGCGATTGCTGAAACCGGATACCTTACCTTTATTTATGCAACCATCTACCGAAGTTTTGCATATTTACGACGGAGCAAAGCTGGGCCATCAGGAATTTATCAACATCTTCCAGGTGGCCTCGAACCTGAAGAAATTCAAGGCGCGGTGCGCAGTCCAGTTCAAAGATGAGGTTATGGATTACTTGCTCTCGAGGGACATTCTTCTCGAAAGCTTCTACCTCCATGGTGCCAATCTGCTAAGCGAAGATAAATGGCACGAATTCCTCGCTGCCAAGGGCAAACCATTGAAGGAACTGCAAGTCTATTATACCGATAAGCATTTCGGAGACGAAACTATGGGGGTTCTGAAGGAGCATTGCCCCGAGTTGACTCGTCTCAAGGTCTGTCACAACCAAAAGGTCACAGATGCGGGAGTAATCGCGATTGGAAATCTTTCTACCCTGAGACACCTCAGTCTGGAACTCCAGCAGGATCTCTCATCAGATGCCCTCAAGGCTTGTATCGCTCAGATCGGGAAGGACCTCAGAACGTTGTCCTTTAAGATTGTACCCGATGCTGACGATGGTGTTCTCGAGGCTATTCATAATAATTGCCGTTCGTTAGTCAAGCTTCGCATTACGGAAAGCGAAACCATGACAGACGAGGGCTTCGCTCGACTCTTCACTGAGTGGGAGAACCCGCCGCTGGATTTCGTGGACTTGCAAAAGTGCCGACAGCTAGATGCTGCTCACCCGCGGCAGAACCCTAAAAACATCGGGCTCTGTAGCGAAGGATTCAAAGCGCTTATGAACCACTCTGGGCATACATTGAGGCATATCAATGTGCATGCTTGCCGACACATCTCTCGCCAGGCTTTTGAGGAAGTCTTTGACGGAACGAAACAGTATCCAGAGTTGCGACACCTTGAGATTAGCTTCTGCGAAGAAGTGACGGACTTCATCCTTGGGTCCATATTTCGAGCCTGCCCAAACATCAAAGAGGTGAACGTCTTTGGTTGCATGAAGGTCAAGGAAGTCAGAGTGCCGCGGGGTGTGATATTGGTTGGCGTACCCAATGCTCAGGGAATGATAACCGAGGGGACAGATTAAGTGCCTTTTCCCACGTAAGCCTCGCGCTGCGCAGAGTGGGCTATAATGTTGGCATGGAGCTACTGCATATGACTTTTATGTTATTTTTTAGAGGATTCAAAGATTCAAACCGTTTCCGCTGGTAGTCGGCACTTTATCCTGGAGTTTTAAGGCGCGTACAGTAAAAGGATATGATAAAATCATTCAGTCAATGAACGTGTCAGCCCAATATTGTTCCTCACAATTGTGCTTATATACGATCAATGCTTTGTACATTTCCACTCTTGTTATGTGCCTGGAACTTATACACCATCCCTTTCTTCAAAACTGGTTCTGCCCAAATCACAACATACTTTTGCTTTTCCTAAGATTCAAGGGCCCATATAACGCCGTGTAAACGATGATTTGTTGTCATGAGGACTTTCTTATGCCTGTCCACCGGCGACATAAGCCTGGTCCTCTTGGCTCCATTTGTTGATCCTGTCAATAGTCTCTTGATCATAGCCGGTCGAGTTGCCGTCACGCTTGAACTGCAGAGGTGAGGGAGCACATGCCGAGACTTTACGGAGGTAGTTGGAATGAGCAGTAATGTCGAGCCCAGAGGTGCCGGCGTTGCAATCCACGTTGGCATTACCAGTGCAAACCTCAATTTGGGCCACGGCGTAGTCAATGTTTGTGCCATCACCGGCAGAGAGCCAGAACTCGGGGGAGACGTGGCGGTAGTCAAAGATGATCGGGGGGAGACGGGGCACGGGGTCATCAAAATGAGTAACGCGGAACTCAGAGCCGGGCTGGCTGGTGACAAAGTCGGCAAAGACGTCGTTGCCAACACGAGGAGATCCAAATGTGTAGACATCAATTGCGAAGCCCTGAGTGCGGAGGAACGAGGCGGCAAGAGTAGCGACGGCACCACCCAGAGAATGTCCCGTGGAGACGATTTCGAAGGAAGGGTTGGCGGCACGGGCCTGGGTGAGAGCGTCTGTGGCAGCGGCGGCGACCTCGTTCCAAGCGTCGTTGAAGCCATCGTGAACCTCGCAGCCATCGGCGAGCGAGCAGTCTGTGAAGCCAAAGACAACGTCCGTGATGAAGTTGCGGAGGTTGTTGCTTCCGCGGAAGGAGAGGACGATTTGTTGGTGTGCGCTGTCAACAGCGACGAAGCCTCCGATGCCAGTGACGGAGCCGCTATATAGTCATGGTTAGACTGATTCTTTTAAATGGAAATATAGGTGTTGCTCACGTGAAGGAGTTGACAACAGTTCCCGCAACATCAGGGCAACCGTCGTCAGAGCATGTGACGGCCTGACCAGCTGGTGTCTCGGAGTTGCAGTATGCAGCTCCAGCATACTGGACGATGAAGCCAAAGTTGTTGAGCTCTGACTGTGTAGCAGTGAAGCTTGTATCGCTCTCTTTGCATGTTGTCAGTAGTTGTACTCGAAATGGGAGTGGAATGGTAGAGGGTGGAAGTTACGTCGAGCTCTAAGCAGCCGAGTGTAGTCCTGGATGGACGGCACGGGACTGCTGGCTACAACAGCCGCAAGAGAGAGAAGCTGCCAGCACTTCATTGTAATGGGTTTGCGATGTTTGAATATGGGAGTTGGAGTCTAGATGAGAATGGACGGCGGAGAGTTGCCTTTGAGCTTCAGCAATCAATGCTCAGCTTCAAATTGACTTGAAGACGAATGGTGGAAACAACACAAGCACGATGTCAAATCTGCTCATACTATTATAAAACAAAACAACTATTTCATGTTGGAGCGGCTGGATGCTTATATACAATTTACGCACATCGGATTTCCTGATATTGACATGTGAGACAACACACAGACTCGGACAACCCGAGCACCCCTGATGCTACCAGGCAGCAGACGAATTCGCCTTTGCGCCGGAAAATACTTGAAGCATGCGTCTCACATTGCGACAAGCCTTTCTCGAGACAAAACTCCATAGTTTTTTTCTTCTTTAGGTCAACGCATGAACCCGCGTCGTCTCCGTTGTTCCATCACCCCGCAACTTCATGCGTGAGGTTTCTAGTGCCTACATAGTTTCTGACCGGTGTCCGAGTGGCTTAGATACCTTTGCATTCCAAGGGAAATCGGCACCGGAGACAACCCAAAAATAGAAGATATTTTACAGGATAGACGATGGAATTTGTCCGAATGGCGAGCCGGCGTCTGGATTTTTCTCGGCGGGACTTCCAGAGGAGGCATGGGGAAGGGCGCCGATTGGGAAAGCCGGAAGGGAAATGGTAAAAGACGATTGGTGGCTTTCCGATACCGTACCATCTACGAATGAGAAGATGGAAAGATACGGGCTGTTTGTGATGAACGGCGTGACTTACATAACGGACGGGTGCGTGGGGGATGTGCTCCAGGATTCGGGATCTACATCAAGATACTACTGACAAGGGAGGTGGGATTTAGTAGTTGACCGTGGCGGTTAGGGTACTTTCCAGATGCGGTCTCTGCGACGGTTTCAGGTCCTTTTGAGATTCGCAAGTGATGGGACGAAACGGGAAGACGTGTGACAAGAGCGTAGTAATGAGACCCTGCCAAGCCGGGTCCCCGTCGATATCGATGAGTCGAAGTGACGGAAAGCGTATAGAGTATCACGTTTAAGTACGACAGCCTTATCAGAGCAACAAATACTACGACAGAGGTGCAACTGCTCGTATATGTGGCAGAGTCTCGAAAGAGAAAAAACTATTATAAACCAGAGGTGCTGACACATTGAACAGATCCCGTATAGGTAAGCTTCCCCCATCACCTCATTGATAGTATCCTAGTCGCGATACTATGACAAATGCCCTTGTTTCTTTGCGGAAGCACTTATGCTACAGCGATATTAATGGCTCGAACGGCAATTGTGATGGATCTTTTGCGAGGCTGTTGCGGGGAGAAGTTCACCTTGTAATCGGCCGGCTTGACGCTTTCGAAGACCGGATCGGATATGCCTTGCCGTAGAACTTTGCGAATAACACGGCGCCTTACAAATGGGGTATATGGATATTCTTTCTCTACAAGGTTTGGTTGCAATGTCACAATGAAGCTGGGTAGCAGGTGTGTTGTACCGTTTTCCATCTCGGGTTCCTGATTCTCCTTCTGTCTTTGCCTCTGCCTCTGCTTCTTCAATGGCCTCTTCTCACCAGTCACGATAGTACATGTAGGTAGTTTCACGTCGGCGGTCGAGAATCCCACGTGGCTTACATGTACTCATGGAATCTTGGAACCAGACGCTCATAAAAGGCTGCATGTATGCTATAACCGTTAGGAACATGCCCACATTCGACGAGCGATTAATTCAGACACCTGACCTCGGACGACATCTCCAAATGGCAGCTCGCAAACAGGCGTTGGTACCCGCAGTGGCTCCCCCGTCAGACGCTTAGAATTGAAAGGCAACTTTGAATACCCAAGGTGAAAATTGGCCCGTCACTTTTTGGATGTTTTTTTTTTTTCTTTTCTTGGTCTTCAGCCGCAAAAAAGAATTATGACGACACATTATTAGCAAGGTTCATATACGATGCATGCAACTGCAGAATTCGGACGCAATCCTGGCAAACGAACCAACACGGCATGAATGAACTCTTGACATCGGCAATCGGACCGCCTTCATTGCTGGGGGAGCCACCAACAGGCGCACGAATTCCACCTATAATTGACCTGGTTTGTAATGCCCATATCTAGGTTGCTAGAGACCCTTAGATCATTGATCCCTAATCCTGATGCTGTGCCCACGTTGTTTCCCCCTCGATTCTATGTATCTAGGCTTTGCAGGGTCCATTATGTATTTTTGGCCAGTGGAATAACGATTCGAGGCATTGCCTCATAGGGACTCCCGGATAATCCTTATCACGGCTGCCCATGTCCGGCATTGAATGCCGTCAATGCATGTTGTTGGTTGGACATTTGATGTTCATTTCCATGCATTCTGATCTTTTCTACCTCGTACAAAGAATAGAACAGAGGACCAAGTAGGGATTTGACCATCCTTCAACATCCAAATGCCAATCCAAGATTCAGCAGCCACCTTTACTGGGGGGCATCACGCGGATGCCTGCCACTGTTACATCTGGCCCCTCTCGACTTGTCAACTCCATCTCTCGACTCCAACCGAACAAAGCGACCGATTCAATGGCCATGCAGGACGCTAATGGCAGCTCGCCCTCGATTTGGACACAAGAGCCCTACAGTAGACGGTTTGTGCGAGCCGAGGGTCACCCGCCCTTTGTCTCCTGTTGCTCTGGTTTTCCTTGTGATTGCCCCGAGATGCGTTCGAGAAACCCAGGGAGCATTTGACCTCAATATCGGCGTCCACACCATCGCCTTGTGCTGCTTCTCGGATTGTTTGTGTCCCCTCGCCAAGCCACGCCATTGCCATGTTTCCCCAGACTCTCTTTCGGGCCCCCAGCTTCAACCAACCCCTGCACGTACATGGAAGCTCTTCGTTGCCATTGTTGTACTACTTGTAGCGATAGCGGCAAAGCGGGAACTCCCCGCCCACTTACAATACGCAATGGGCAGCAGAAAAAAAGCAGTGCCGCTCCACCGCCGCGGCCTTTTCGAGACATTCCACCGAGGCCAATGCTTGATGCCCGAACCAGCGAGCCTGAAGACACTTGGTGACGTCCGATTTGGGCTGGTGGTCAATCGCGCATCTGCGAGCTGAGGGCGGTGACGTGGGATCGTCGTCTGACTTCATGTCTGTCTTGGTGGTGATATCTCGCTGCCATGGCATTACGAGTACGTTGGTGTGTGCAAGTGCAACCACCACTCAGCTCTTGGCTGGAGAAAAGGGAAGAAAGGGCAGAATGGCCCCTGCTCCTCATTGGTTTTATTGGTTCTAGACCTCTTCAGCTGGTCTGTTTGCTTGTTCGAGCATCTGCAGGTCTCGCTCGCATTGCTGCTAGCATGCCCGTCTTTTGGGGCACAACGATGCACGATGGCTGCTGCCCAAGAAGAGGCATGGGGGGGCGCAGAAGAGGCAATAGATTACGAAAAGACTCGGAGAAAAGAAGAGAATCGAAAATGTGACATCCCAGAGCCATGGGCCTTGCTTGGCCTTGCGACCCGGCTGGTCCAAGCAAGAAGGGGGGTCATGGATGTCTCATCGTGGACACGAGGTCGCGAGTGCTGTGCTCATGCATGCTTTCCCTCCCTTGAGCCCTAGACTTGGCCTTGATGGGGAAACGATTGACGGTAAATACTCGACGGTTTCTCCATAACTTGTCCCTGTCAATTGGAATTTCCTTTGACCCTTGTTTGTGAAGTGCCATGCTCGTGAGCACGCGAGACCACAAGAAACCCGCTTCAAGAGTCTGTACGAGTACCATCTACTACCACCCAGCTACGTTGTGACATCTGTTGCCCGCCTGTGCCCTAGGCAGCAGGAACCATGACCTCGTTTTCCGACAGTGTCAGAGTGTCCACCGCTGTGACCTGTATTCTGTCCGGCTTCGTTGGGCTGGGACAAGCTGGACCCAGTGCTGCGTCGGCGAATGCGCAGATAGCAGCAGCCGCAGCCGCTCAAGGCTGGGTTCCAGATGGCTACTATGTGCCGTCGTATTATCCTGCGCCATATGGTGGATGGGTGGATGATTGGCGACAGAGTTATACCAGGGCCAAGGCTCTGGTCGACTCTATGACTTTGGCAGAGAAGACGAATATTACTGCAGGGACAGGAATTTACATGGGTAAGTGGGGAGTCTTTTAAATTCAAAGTGCGATTTCAACGGCTGTGTGAAACTCAATAACTGTTCGAGTATAATAACATGTTATAATGCTGACTGACTTGATACAGGGTGAGTTGGTTTTTCATATCACAAGGCTTCCAAAACACACCAACAGCCCTTCAAAGCGTTGAAGATGGACTCTTATGACTAGTATCATCTTAAAGACTCGTACAATGTTGAGATGGACGTGAAACCTCAAGTATAAAGAAGCTAACTTCATTCAAGGCGATGTGCTGGAAATACAGGCTCTGCACTTCGAGTTGGCATCCCTCAGCTGTGTCTTAATGACAGCCCTGCGGGTGTCCGCCATGCGGATAACGTTACGGCTTTCCCTGATGGAATCACAGTTGGCGCAACCTTTGACAAGACGCTCATGTACCAGCGTGGCGTGGCCATTGGGCAGGAGAATCGCGGCAAGGGCGTCAATGTTTGGCTAGGACCAACAGTTGGGCCGATAGGACGCAAGCCAAAGGGTGGCCGTAACTGGGAGGGCTTTGGTGCTGATCCTGTACTTCAGGCTGTGGGCGCAAGAGAGACGATCAAGGGCGTTCAGGAGCAGGGAGTTATTGCGACAATCAAGCACTTTATTGCGAATGAGCAGGAGATGTACCGCATGTACAATCCTTTCCAATACGCCTACAGCTCAAATCTTGGTGAGTCTTTCCGGCCATATTGGGTATGATGGATAATTCAAGTTCTAACGGTGGTTGGGTGGGTTGAAAAGATGATAGGACGATGCATGAAGTCTACGCCTGGCCATTCGCTGAAGGCATTCATGCGGGCGTCGGCTCTGTCATGATGGCATACAACGCTGTAAGTGAATCCGAATCTAGTAAAGAGTTTAAAAGCTAACCAATTCGTGTTTCTACCATAGGTAAACGGAACCGCATGTACTCAACATCCTTATCTCATGAATGCCCTCCTCAAGGATGAAATGGGCTTCCAAGGTTTCATCATGACCGATTGGCTAGCTCACATGTCCGGTGTCGCCTCTGCCATTGCTGGCTTGGACATGGACATGCCCGGCGACGTTCAGATTCCCTTTTTTGGCAGTTCGTACTGGATGTATGAGCTCAGTCGGTCCGCTCTCAACGGGTCAGTCCCCATGGATCGTATCAACGACGCAGCCACACGTATTTTGGCCGCATGGTATAAGATGGGCCAGGACAAGGGATTCCCGGCAACCAACTTTGACACCAATTCCGGTGCTGCAGTTAACCAATTGTATCCTGCCGCGTGGCCATTTTCGCCGTCAGGAGTTACAAATGAGTTTGTTCAGGTTCAGGCCGATCACGACGTGGTTGCTCGCCAGATTTCTCAGGATGCTATTACCCTGTTGAAGAACGACGGTGGCATTCTCCCACTATCACCTTCGCAACATATCAAGGTCTTTGGAACCGACGCCCAGAAGAACCCGGATGGAATCAATTCATGCACAGATCGCAACTGCAACAAGGGCACCCTCGGACAGGGCTGGGGTTCAGGGACCGTCGATTACCCATATTTGGATGATCCCATTACGGCCATCACCGCAGCGGCCAGCAATGTCACCTTTTACAATACCGACAGCTTTCCCTCCGTCGGCCAAGTATCAGCTAGCGATGTCGCTATTGTGTTTATCAGTTCCGACGCCGGTGAGAACACTTACACGGTGGAAGGCAATCATGGCGACCGTGATGCCTCCGGTTTATACGCATGGCACAATGGTGACAAGCTCGTTCAAGATGCCGCCGGCAAATTCAGCAACGTCATTGTGGTAATACACACCGTCGGCCCCCTGATTCTTGAGAACTGGATTGATCTACCATCCGTCAAGGCCGTCCTCATTGCGCATCTACCCGGCCAAGAAGCTGGAACCTCTCTTACAAATGTCCTCTATGGACACTCTTCGCCATGTGGACACTTGCCTTATTCAATCACAAAACAGGAAGCTGATTTCCCAAGCAGCGTCACGACGCTCATCAATTCCGAGTTCCTTAACCAGCCCCAGGACACATACACCGAGGGTTTATACATCGACTACCGCTGGCTCAACAAGAACAACACCAAGCCTCGATACGCCTTTGGCCATGGCCTGAGCTACACAAATTTTACTTACACGGCAGCGTCGATTAAAAAGGTCACTCAGCTGAGCTCATACCCTCCCGCTCGCTCCGCCAAAAGCGGCGTCCCCAACTTTTCGCAAGCCATTCCATCTGCCAACGAAGCCGTCGCGCCCTCTGGCTTCAACTCAATCCCCCGCTACATCTACTCTTGGCTTTCCCAGAGCGACGCCAACGGTGCCGTCTCGGACGGGAAATCGGGCAAATATGCATACCCAGACGGCTATTCCACTACCCAGAAACCCGGTCCTCGCTCCGGCGGCGGCGAGGGAGGCAACCCTGCGCTCTGGGATGTTGCGTATAACCTCACGGTGACGGTGCAGAACACGGGAGACGAGTTTGCCGGCAAGGCTTCCGTGCAAGCATATCTGCAGTTTCCGGATAATATCGGCTATGACACGCCGGTTATCCAGCTCCGCGACTTTGAGAAGACGGAAGAGCTGGCACCGGGGGAGAAGACGACGGTGTCTCTGACGCTCACACGCAAGGATGTTAGTGTGTGGGATGTGGTGGCACAGGACTGGAAAGTGCCTGCGGTTGGTGGAGGATATAAAGTATGGATTGGAGATGCCAGTGATTCCTTGAGTATAGTATGTCATGCAGATACGCTAAAGTGCGAGACTGGTGTTGTTGGACAAGTGTAGATGTAGATGTTTAGTGGATATGTGTGAGGAATTAATCAAGTTTGTTTTTCTGTTGTTGTCACCTCGTTCTGTTTGTTCTCAGACTTTGTCTTTTTGAGTCTTTAGTGAGCCCAGTAATAGTACAATACAATACATCTCTATCTCTAGTAGATGCCCCTTTTATACAACCCCCCCATCATACACTCATATCGTTTCCCAACAGCATATAATGCCAGTTTCCCTCAATTAACCAAGTACACTCCCCCCCTTTCGCTCACCACGCAACGTGTCTCCGTCCCTTGAGCTTCCTCCGCTGCAAGATCCTCCGCCCAGTCTTACTCCTCGTCCTCTTCAGCCACCCATGTCTCCGCTTCTGCACCAGCCTCGTGTGGCCATTCATGGTATTTCGCGGCCCGAAGCGCAGCTGCAGGCCTTGCAGGGCGGGATGCGAGGACACTGCCGCCGTGGGCACGAGGTCTGCGGATTCTGGCGAGGTCGCTGCCGCTGCCGCTGCCGGTGATGGTGCTGTGAAGGGGTTGTTGGGGCGGAAAGATGAGGTCAAGGTAGGGCGGAGAGGAGAGAGGCATGTGTACGTCCTGGCAAGCTGTTAGTTGAAAGCTTTCGACGAAAAAGTCGGACGATGGTGGGGGGAAACATGTACCGTTGCGAGAGGGCGGAAATGCGCGGGGCGAGGAGTGGCCGCGCGAGGCGGATGATGGAATTCATTTTTTGAAAGATTCCGGCGGACTCGAGAGGGGGAGGGTGCTGAGTGTTGTCTGGAGCGAATTGGCGGATGTTGCGATGGATGATTTTGAGGTTGAGAGTGTTGAGTGATGGTGTTGAAATTTTGGAGGCTTCAGATTGGTGGGTTGGCGGGTGGTGGGTACGTACTGTGTGTGCAGCAGTTGGTAGCGCCTTTTTTGATGGGAGAAGATGGGAGAGAAGAGAGAGAAAAAGCTCGTGTATGATGGGGATTATTTCTTAGGTAGTTTAGATTTGTGGTAGGAATTACCTCAATCGAATTGCTTATATGTGTATTGCTTTTTACAACAAGAGAGAATGAAAAGGTGGAAAACAATGTCTCCATGTCTCTATGGCCCATCAATCCTTAACCTCAACACCATGGCTTCTAATACACAGCGAATAAAATACCTATAATCACAACAGCACATACTCCAGCTCCCGATACTCCAAACCCTCCGCCATGTCCTCGCTCTCCCTCGCCTCCCAGCCCATCACCATCTTCACCTCCCCAAAGTAATTCGCCTCTCCCTCCTGCCTGAACCCCAGCTTCTTAAACAGCGCCCTGCTTCCCGTATTCTCCTGCTTAATCTTGGCCATCAATCCAACCAGCTGTACCTTTTCCACGTCCAGCCCCTCGCCTTGTGCGTATTCCTTTAGTATTTCCGGCAGATTTCTCCGTATATATGCCAATATTGACCGCACTGCGGCTTCTCCCACGCCTTTCCCGCGGTGCTGCGTATTTGCTATCATGACGTCTACTTCGCCCGTCAGACGTATCGTGCTGCTCTCCCGCGGTTCGGCAACCTCGTCGTCATTAGCTAGATAGAGGAAAAAGTTGATGTCTCCCTTCATTTTGACGGGTGAATCGTCGACTTGAGCCTTGATTTGTTTCTCATTGCTTGCCGCCCCGCTTAATGGCTCGCATACAATAAAGGTTAGTTTATCATGAGATGTCCGCCATGACTCCTGGTTTTCATATTCTTCTTCCAATGTCATGGGTTCTGACGCAGTGGCCTCTTGGATTGCCTATTTCTACTTTGTAAGCAAAACATCAAGGAACGAGAGCGGGCACTCCGTACTGGGTCTTTCATCCACTCATGGTAAGTGAGCACATGGTGGGCTTCATATGGCACCAGCAAGGCTTTGCTTGTTGAAATCGCTAATCCCTTGTTAGCCAAAGAGAAGAAGAAAATGTCAAGAATTGGAGGGTTTTACTTACATTTCGTCTGATTGACTTTCATTTTAAACCAGCTACTTCTCTCTGGATGTACTTGTATGACGAGGAATTGTAGGAGGGAAAAATTGTTTCAATGAGATAGCGCATCGGGTCTGACTAACAGCGAGGCGTGTCATTCAGCTTGATTTCAAGTGAACTACCACCACGCATATTCATATTTTAGTCTCTTCAAATGCTGAAGAACATGTCAATTAATCGGCTTGAGTTTCATCTCTACTGCTGTAGTTTGTATATAAATACTAATTGCTAAGTGGCGACCTGCATTGATCTGGCCCATCGCATTCCGTCTAATATCGTACATATCCTACAACGCCATGCATTGCTATATAAACACGCCCACGACTCCATGTTCGTTCATGACTGGCGTGCGCCAACCTTGGCTGCATGTGTCTCGGCCAACAGCTTGGCAACCGCCTCCTCGCCCATTCGTGCCTCCATCGCCAACAGCTCAGCCATCTGGTTCATCTTGTTTCTAGTCTTATCCAGCAATGCTACTCTCAAGTGCTCCAGCAGCTCGTCATCTGAGAGATCTGCACTGGCGGTTGGTGGGAAAATCGTGTCCCATTTACTCATTCGAGGCGCTGGCTCTGCTGGCGTCGACTCGGTGCCGTAATCAGCATCCTTCCCCTTGACAGCAAACTCAACGGTGCGTCTATCAGGCCGAACTCCTAAAGCATCTAATAGTTCTGATGCTTTGGTTGGCATGATGGGCTGAAGCAGGATGCCGGCAATGCGCAATGCTTCCGCACTGTTATAGATGACCCAGTTCAGCAGCACACGGGATTCAGCATCCCGAAGCTTGACCAAATCCCAAGGCTTGGTATCGGAAACGTAACGGTTTGTCTAGTATCATCGGTCAGTATTTGGAGCGTATCTGTTAGGTCCATGTGCATGACGGATTGTAATCATACCTCTCGTAGCAATTCGAAAATCTCGCGTATCGCGCCGCTCGTATCGTAGTCATCCATTTCTTTAGCAAAGGCCACGGGTTTCCCAGCCAGGTGGCCTTCTAAGCTAAAGTACATCGCATCGGCATCGTTTGCGCCATGGTTGTCAGCCCAGACGTTCAAATCTCCATTGCGATATGCAGTCACGGCTTCGAGAGTCGACCACCTGACGGACGCCTTTGGCTTTGCGATTCTATAAAAGAGATTGCCAATGTTCGCCTGTAGCTCTTTGACGTAGACTGTACCAATCAGCTGGTTGGAGTAGCTCATATCCTTGTGGAGACTGGCGTTTCGCATGAGGAAATATCGTAGGGGATCAATACCCCATCGTTGGATGGCGAAGATGGGATTGACAACGTTGCCCAGTGACTTTGACATCTTACGATTAGACATGGTCCAGTGGTTGTGACAAAGGAAACCTTGTGAAACGGGTAATCCTAGGGCAAGGAGCAAGGCAGGCCAGTAGATTGTGTGAAAACGCAGAATATCCTTTCCAATAACCTGCAAGTTGGCTGGCCAGAGTCCCATGTCTTCCTTTGCCGAGTGCCACTTGCTTCCGTACCCTGCTTTGGTAAGGTAATTGATGAGAGCATCAACCCAGACATAGATGGTCTGACTCTTATCTTCGGGGTCTGCTACGCCCCAGTTGAGCCTAGAGGCGGGCCTGGTAACGGATAAGTCTTCGAGATGCTTTTCTATCCAGGCTCTCGCCTCTGCCATGCGATGGGCTGGCTTTATCCACCCAGGGTTCTCATCATATATCTTCAACAAAGCATCTTTGTATTTCGTCAAGGGGAAGAACCAGGTTTCTTCCTTGATCCATTCCACCTCGTTATCCGTCTCGGTGCTCACCATGATCTTCTTTCCGGTTTGGGGCGCAATGCTGGGTCGTACCAAGTCCTCGGGATAGAAGCACTCGTCGCTTACGCAATACCATCCTTCGTGAACACCTTTATACAACCCCAAGCTTTCAGGCGTCGCATGCTTAAGATGTAGCCAGAACTGGGCTACCACGTCTTTGTGGTCCTGGTCGGTTGTCCGGATGAAGAAATCGTTTGAGATGTTTGCCGCAGCCACCAGTTCTCGAAACTTGTTTGAGTTGACATCACAAAAGTCTTTGGGTTCCATTCCATTCTTAGCAGCGGCTCTCTGAATTTTCATTCCGTGCTCATCCGTTCCGGTACACATATAAGCTTCTTTGCCTTTGATTTGCTGCCAACGCTTGATCACATCTGTCACGACCATAGTATAAAGATGGCCAATGTGAGGAGCTTTTTGATTGATAAGTCAGCTACACAATTGAAGAACCAGTGAAACCGTTTATTTGATATTTACCAGCATTGACATAAAAGATTGGAGTTGTGATATAATACGGCTTCTCGCTTGAAGACCCCGCAGGGCTTTGAGAGCTGTTCCAGCGTTGCACAGCAGCAAAATTTGTTCGGCAGCCGGAGCAGATCCAGCCAGACGACGAGGCCAGCCGCGGCTGAGCTCGCCGCAGCCCGGAAATGGCCCGCGGTCTTAGTGAGAGCATCGTTGTGACGAGCTTTGCTCTAGAGCAAGATCTGAAGATGGATAGTTAGAGGAATTGCATGATACAGTGCTGTCAGTGCGAATTGGGTGTAACGATAACTGTACGATAAGGCGGGCAGCCTGCACGTCATTAGAAAATGTCTAGCTGCCTGACAGTTCACGTCCTTCTGATCAACAAAAGCCAAGAGCAGCATCGGCAGTACATCTAGGAAGAGCGCTGATGCTGCTGAAGCCAAGGACATCATGCCACTGCCAGACGCGGATACAGAAGTCAAGGCTTCTAGCGAAGGTATGTTGCAACGCTGTCATCATCGTGGCCGGCTCCTCATACTGACCTGACATGAAATAGCTGCCGAAATCTTCGTCAACAACTATTACCAAGCAATAAATAGCAAAGCCAAGCTTGAGACATATTATATCAACTCGTCAACTCGCTACTCGATCCCGGCCGACATCTCCATCAACGGCTCTGTCGTTCCCACACCGGCGGAGTATTCTAAGCTTCTCGAATCCCAAGGCGAGAATGTGCTTTACGAGATAGAATCTCTCGATTCACACATCATCAACCCGTCATTCCAATACGGAGCTCCTGATACCGTCTACGAAAGCGAAAAGAACGAGAAGAGTGGGCGGCGTATGAGTATTGTAGTCACGACGATGGGCAAGGTCCGGTTCGGCAAGGGGCGCGAAGCACCGCAGAAAATGTTCAACGAGACTTTTGTGCTGGTGCCCAACTGGGACGCCATGGCGAGGAATCCAGCTCGAGGTCTTAAGAGATGGCTCATCATGTCACAAAACTTCCGCGCTCTGTGATTCGGACCCGATGAGGCATTCCATATACAAGCAACTGCGGCCACGACGGCTCGGATTGGAATGCAGAAAACACGACAGCACCAAATCCACGATAACCATTCAAAAGGAATTTTTATTCGGCAAAAAGTCATAGGATGGTCTCAAGGCATTGTTTCAAGTAGTACTCGTTCATCTGAGCGCTGTACGTGCGGCTGACCAAACCTATTGTAAGTTCGCGTCGTACACGAGCAGGGAACGAGTACTACTTGAACAATGCCTTGATACTGGTGAAGCAGGGTTCATATTTGATACGGCACTCGATTGCCATTGAAATCAATGATGAATGACTGCAGGATATAGGATAGGACACTGAGCGACGAGCCCAACCGAATACATGTCTTTTAGCTAGTAAGAAACATGGGAAGATAAATACATCTCTAACTCAAACACATGCATAGCAATACAATACAACTTCCAAGACAAATTCAAACATTCTCCTTTTGCACTCGGGTGTACAGTATAAGGGTGGTATTCTAGCAAATAGCCGTATTTGTTCTGCGAAAACGGACAATCAATACCGACGATGGGAGATCCAATTCAAGCATAAACAAAAGACTGTACAGTATCAATCATTGACTCCATTAATTCCCATAGACAATACCAGTGGTGACCAATAAATGCAAAGTTGAGCGCCTCATGCATCCGATTGTTCTCGCCATTGTTCTCGCGACGCTGCGCCAATAGCCGCCCCAAGCCCCATCGCGGGGGAGACGCTGTTGGTGGCAGAACAACGAATATTTGCAGCTTCTTGCTTGCAGCCCCCAAAAAACCCCGCCATTCACCACCTCCAGCATCCAACATGCCGCCTAAGGCAAAGGCCACTGCAAAGGCTGCCAATCCCGAACCCAAAGGTGAATGCAAACAGCGTCCTCTTTCGCCCTGCAAGGATCGTACCTAGGTAACTAACGCATATATTCTCCCGTTGCTGCAGCTGCGCCAGAGGCCCCTCCTGAGACGGTTGGCGAACGATCCAAGCAGCGGTACTACCAGACAAACCCCGTCGAGAAGCGATTCGAAGAGGTCGGATTCCCGGGCCTGACACCGGCCGAAAAGAAGACGTACACGCACACCAACCTGATCCTCCCTGTCGCGAACCGCCTTGTGTCACTGTCCAACAAGACAGACCGCGAGTACTGGAAGCACGTCGCCAAGGAAGGCCTTCCCTGTCGACGCCTCAAGAACAACTACCACTGGGGCCAGGACAAGCACGGCCGCGATATTGGCACTTATAGATTCGAGGAGCTCAAGAAGCGGTCTTTGAATCAGGCTAAACTGACTGCGCTTGACGTCTTGCACAGGCAGTTTCTGGCCAAGAGAGACGCCGCTCGCAGTAACGGCACTGGGCTCCCCCAGGAAGACATCGACCAGGAAAAGGAACGACGGAAAGAGATGGCGGCATTGAAGAGGGAGCTGTACGGCGAGATTCCCGGGCCATTGGCCAATGATCCGGAGTGGGATGATGTAGCTCCCATTCCGCAGACTGAGCCTGAGGATGCTCTGGCCAGGATCGCCTATCCAGATGAATATGCCGAGGGTAAGATGATGGCATCTCGATACTATGACGAAGCAAAGATTGCTTGACTAACATCTTTTTTTCTTTACAACAGCTGTCTCTTACCTTCGCGCCGTCATGGCCGCAGAGGAATACTCCCCTCGCTGCCTCCGCCTCACCGAGCGCATCATCGGCATGAACCCAGCCCACTACACCGTCTGGCTCTACCGCTTCAAAATCGTCGCCACCCTCAACCTCCCCGTGCTGGACGAGATCCAATGGCTCAACGGCGTCGCCATGGACAACCTCAAGAACTACCAGATCTGGCACCACCGCCAGCTCCTCCTCGACCACCACTACACGGCCATCTCCTCCGACCCCGAGGCATGCAAGCAGTTTGCAAAGTCCGAGACGGACTTCATCTCCAAGATCCTCGCCGAGGACACCAAGAACTATCACGTCTGGTCTTATCGCCAGTATCTCGTCACCAAGCTCGACTACTGGAGCCCCTTTGAGCTCGCCACCACGCAGAGCATGATTGAGGACGACCTGCGCAACAATTCCGCCTGGTCCCATCGCTTCTTCGTCGTCTTCTCCGATCCTTCGGTCTCGACCAAGGGTAGCGCCCCCACGGAACACGATCCCAAGGTACCCGGCGAGATCATCGATAGAGAGGTCGCGTACGCAAAAGAAAAGATCGAGCTTGCGCCCCAGAACCAGTCTGCGTGGCATTACCTGCGCGGCGTCCTGGTCAAGGGCGGGCGTGGTCTCGATACTGTAGGCGAGTTCGCTTCGCAGTTCGTTTCCAACCTGGGCAGCGACAACGAGGACGTCAAGAGCTCTCATGCGCTGGACCTCATGTCCGAAGTCTACCACAAGCAGGGCGATATCGAAAAGGCCAAGCTGTGTCTGCAGAGACTGTCGGAGAAGTGGGATCCTGTGCGAGAGGGCTACTGGAAGTACCGATTGTCAGGGTTGAAATGAAGTATCTAGTAGAAATAGCATAGCCGACGTCTGACTTGAAATTTGAGTACATGTATCAATCTCCTCGCGACATAACGATACTTCTTATCAAAGAACAATGCTGAGATGCCATGTTTGTCATATCTAGTTTATATCTACGTGTTGTATTATGAATGATATTTTCAAGGCCATCATGTCATAACGCAAAAATGGTTTCCTTAAACGCCAAGCAAGCGACCAATGCTCATGCGTAGAAAAAAAAAACAAGATCCGCAGTGAAATCACTCCCCCCCCCCCCCTTTTCGCTCAGAATGTCCCAACCCGCATTATGCCTTTGTCGCCATGATTACCCCAACGCCAGACTCAGTAACTCGTCTCTCCCCCTCAGCGCCAGAGACACAAGTGTCCATTTGCAGCTCACAGCTCGCCGGCCGGCTACTCGCTCTCTACCCGCCAAAACTTCCATCCTTCTCTCTCGCCGCCGTCGCCGTGGACGCCGACAAGCTGCTCAACGCCCTTGGTTCCCTTGGCATTGAGGAACAAGTCCACGTCAATCTCCATTCCGCCTTCTTCATCTTCGTCGAGGCCGTTCTTCAGAACAGCCGGCCACAGGACACCCACGCCATCACCACCAAGGGTAGTGCTAAACTTCTGGTAGCCTTCGGCTTCGAACCGGCTGTCTAGCGTATCAAGTTTCTCCTTGGGTACGTCTGGTTTCAGCAGTGTGATGGAACAGCCGCCGCCTCCAGCGCCGGTGAGTTTGGTCCACCCGATATTCTCATGATCGACCAATTCACGCACCCTCTCTAACCTAGGGTGAGACACGCCTAGCGAATTCAAAAGACCGTGGTTGATTGTCATCAACTCGCCAACCTTCCTTAGGCTTTCTCCATCCTTGGAATCAAAGCTCTTATCTTCGATGAGTTGAGAAGCTGCGTCAGTGACGTTGTGCATGGCGTCGAGAATTGTGCCAACAAGCTTAGGGTGTGTCTTGTTCAGTTTTCCGACCTTGGCTACTTCGTGCGCTGTAGATTTGGCCTGCTTTGTATCCACGAGGAGCAGGGGCAGCTCGGGAAAGTTCCACAGTGGGCGAACTGACGGAGGCTTGCTGTAGTCTGTCCGCTGGAATACTACAGCCTTGCCCTGGGAGGCTACGGTATTGTCGACTCCTGAAGGGTTTCCGTGAATGCACATCTCTGACACAAAGGCCCAGCGGTTGATGCGCTCGATCTGGATGCGCGCCTCGTCGGAAGGCTGGTCTGGATGAGGACCGGAAAGTGTCCGTAGCTGGAGGAGAAGAGAGGCGGCTAGGCAGACAGAGATGGAAGCACTGCTGCCAAGACCAGCCGAAATAGGAATTGTAGACCGCAGAGTATAGAGGGATCCTGGGAAGCGCGGTGATCCCAGAGAAAGAAAGAGGTAGAGGAATGCGGTGGCAGAGCTTCGGTGGACCTTTCGAATCTCTTCTGATCGGTCCGGGGAGACCTCGTCGATGTGTGGCTGCAGAGCGGCCAGTAAATCGGCGTCAAGCTCCGTGACCAAGGAGTAGTACGATTTTTTCTTGTCTGGGTGGTGGAAAGCCGCCCAAGGGAGATTATCAATATCCCAGGTGTGAGTGAGGTCGATGTCGGGGAAACGAAGCGAAACGGTATGTTTGGATTTCGACAGCGTTGTGACATGGAGATAGGATCGTAAAGAGATGGCAGCGGCGATGGCAGCCTACACAGCAACAAAAGAGTTCAGTTAGCCATTGATGAACTACATCTCGGTCACAAGAGATACGCACCCTGCCATAGACAACTGAATGTTCTCCAAAGACAATCACCTTGCCCGGCGCGGACACCATAAAGGCGGGCGCCATGGGGGCAGATGGCCGGCGCAGCGACATGGCGCGGTGATGCCCAGACGACAGTCCATTGCCATTGACGGACGGCGGCACGCCATTGCTGGGGCTCTCGGGAGTGTCTGAGCCGTCAGACATTTGAGCTTCCTCGACGACCTTGAGCGAATCGTCTGTTGGCTGTGGCCGTCGATGCGTCTCGAGTTGTTACCTGGCAGCCGACCCGCACGAGGGGCAGAGGAGGGATGTCGAAGAGTTGACAGGGGTAGCGGCTGGCAGGACAGAATGGCGAGTCTTGCTGTTTTATCCTCGGTCGCGTAGAGCACAAGTCGTATGTATGAGGATAGAAAGGACGCGCGGGAAGTTGCCAGCTGCCAACAACTCGAGGGTTTCGTGGTTGGGGGCAAGGAGGTGGGCGATGGAGGGTACAGTTAAAGGTACTAAGATTTGGACAAGCCTGCTCGTGAGATGGAGGCTAGAGTACCAGTACCTGATGGGCAGCCCAAGCCTTGCCAAAAGGGTCAATGCGAAAAAGGGTCCCCGCAAAGCGATTGTGTAGGTACTTTGTGGGTTCTTTTGATCTCCAACTGCCCCCAAATTGCCATGGACCTCTTTTTGTTGCCCGTCTTGTAATTTAGTTTCGGAGCAAGGAGAGAAACTGGGGGAGACGCTTGTACTCGTACTTGCACGACCACCAACAACAACACCTCTGGATATAGGATGTACTAATATAATTCCCAATACTGTAGCTACTCTTTACAATGATACTATTGATCAGAAGAGGCAATGTTCAGCGCGAAATTTAATATAAGCAAATACATGGCGCTACTTCATGTCTTATACATACACTATCATAGATACGAATGCGCTCGGGTCAAGTCACGACTACGAGGTCGATGCCACGATGCGCAAACGGCCAGCCTGCATTAGCCGGCCGCCACTAACCAGAAGGTACCATCCAGCTCGCTTTGTGCATGCCGGTACATGCCCAGATGGCGGGCGGTGCGTAATATTCAGACGCCAATTGGAAGAAGTTTGGTCAATGGCGGGCTTCCATTCGCCGGACCAATTGGCTGGCTGATCTCGATTGCGTGGGGGGGGGGGGGGGGGGGGGGGGGGCGGTTCAATGTTCCTTTTCCACTTCTCCCATGGAAGCGTCCCGTTCGAGGTCCCACCCCTGA